GACTTTGTAACAAATGCCCTCTTGCCAATGTTGTATAACTATCAAAAGACAAGAGGGCTCAATAAATCAATGTACATGACGATCATAGGATTTATTGCAGTAGGTTTCTTTTTTTTTAATTGACCAAGAGACAATTTCATTCCATTCAAAATTCTTCATCTATTTATATTTTTAGGAATTGCCACTTTCAAAAATTGATCCAAACACATACAACAATAGAAGATTTCAACTCAAACTTGAATCAAAAGAACGATAGAAAAGAAAAACAAGTATTACCAGACTCATTTTGTTGTTTCTTCTTTGGAGTTTTCTAGTTCATTCAAGATTTCTAAGCATCGTTGCTATCTCATAATTTTAGATGAAGAATATCAGTAAGCTTTTATTTGTGTTTTATTTGTTTTACAATTCCAAACAGAGTGGTGTCAATTGTTTCATTTCACTTAACAATTTAGCTCCTTCTTTTCCAATTCTATTGCGAGTAATATCAAGTAATCTCAATTGTTTCATTTCACTGATGTATTTGACTCCTTTTATACCAATTCCAATTTCAGAAATATAAAGTGATATCAATTGTTTCATTTCACTTAGATATTTGGCTCCTTCATCACTAATTTCATTGTTAGAAATATCAAGTAATCTCAATTGTTTCATTTCACTTATCAATTTAGCTCCTTTTATACCAATTCTATTGTAAGCAATAGTAAGTGATGTTAATTGCTTCATTTCACTGATGTATTTGACCCCTTCTAGACCAATTCTACTGTAATCAATATTAAGTGATGTTAATTGTTCCATTTCACTTAAATATTTTGCTCCTTCATCACTAATTTCATTTTCAGAAATATCAAGTGATGTCAATTGTTCCATTTCACTTATCAATTTGACTCCTTCTAGACCAATTCTATTGTAACCAATATGAAGTGATGTTAATTGTTTCATTTCACTTAAATATTTGACTCCTTCATCACCAATTTCATTGTGATAAATATTAAGTAATCTCAATTGTTTCATTTCACTTAAATATTTGGCTCCTTCATTGCTAACTTCATTTTTAGAAATATTAAGTGACGTTAATTGTTTCATTTCACTGATGTATTTGACTCCTTCTATACCAATTCTACTGTAACCAATATTAAGTGATGTTAATTGTTCCATTTCACTTAAATATTTGGCTCCTTCTATACCAACTCTATTGTAACCAATATTAAGCGATGTTAATTGTTTCATTTCACTTAAATATTTGGCTCCTTCATCCCCAACTCTATTGTAACCAATATTAAGTGATGTTAATTGTTTCATTTCACTGATGTATTTGATTTCTTCATCACCAATTCCATTGTCATAAATATTAAGTGATGTTAATTGTTTCATTGCACTTATCAATTTGGGGGTTTCTATGGCTTGAAGCAACCGACTAGAAAATTTAACTTTAACAATACTATTCATAAATTGACTTTTCATGAATAATTTAACTCGTTTCTCTGTAAATTTCTTTTGAAATTGAATAGCAAGTTTTGAACGTTCCTTGATCACCTTAAAGAATTGTTTTGAAATTAATGAACAAGTATTTAAAATAAACCACGAATCATCAAGCATTGAAATTATTTCAAAACAAATATCATCTGAAAATACATCTTGTTGGACTTTTGCAACCTTTTTTGCTTTCTCTTCCGAATTAATTAATTGAGGATTTTCAAAATCTTGTCTTTGTCGTTTGTCCATTTTTTTAGTATGATCAACATCACCTTCATAATGTCATTCAACATTTATTCTTCTTGAAACTATTATAAGTGTGTATTCATGATGTACATCATGATGTACAGTAAATGTGGGTATGATGTGCGACTATTTTTTTTTTGTAATGTTTCCGAGGCTACGGAAATATTCGTATTTAAGTACAACAACATTTGCTTAAAGAATAGACTGATCAAGAATGAGTACTTGTTTATCTTAAAAACTTTTTAAAATCATCATTACTCAAACCACCCACTGCAGCAGCTGATGGTTGTGATTGATTTTCAGTGTTATTAGTAACTACTGAATCACTGCCACTGCCACTTGCTGTTTGTTGATTATTATTACCACTTGATGATGATGATGATGAAATTGTTTCATTTCTCTTTGGAACTGATCTTGGTTTAAACATGTTTGGCTTCTTTTGTCTTGTATCTGATTCCTTAATATGTAATTTAGGAGTTGAATTGTGTACAAACTTCTTATTAGTAATATCTTTTTGCTTTTTCAATAATTTTTTCATTTTGGCTGTTTCTGCTTGAGCTACTTTAAGTAAATTTCCTTCTTTATCAATTCCATAATTATTAAGTTTTTCAATGGCTTGTTGAATAATTTCATGACTTTCCAATTCAACAAATGCCATTCCCTTAGAGGATCCATTCTCACGAGTGATGAGAGTTATTCTCTTTGCTTGAATTGAATGTTGTTGGAATAGCTCACGTATATCTTGTTCTTTCATACTGAATGGTAAATTCCAAACAACAACATTTAAACAAGGCTTTTCATCAGATGATTCCTTCTTGATTTTCTTTGGTGGTTCTGTTTGTGGTTGATTTGTTTCATTACTTGTTGATTTTGTTTCCATTGTTTTTTCTGTTGATGATTTGATATTTTCCAATTCTTTCATTTCAACATCATGATCCAATTGTTGTTCAACATTTGAGATTTCACTGCTGATAATGTTGGTATTTTCACTTGGTACTTGTTCCACTAATTCTTCTTCAGTAGTAGCGAATTTAACCTTCTTCTTTGGTCTATCTTCTTTTACCTTTGTTTTCTTTTCTTCCTTTGGTTTCTTTTCAGTCTTTCCCTTATCATCATTTGATTTTTCCTTGATGATGGATTTTTCCTTAATATTTGACTTTTCCTTAGTGTTGGATTTTTCCTTCATCTTTTTCTTTTGTGAATCTTTAAATTGTTTCAAAATATTTTCAGCCTTAATAATGGAATGTACAGAATTGGAATTGACCTTTTCATAGTACAACCACAATTTGGCAAGAATTTGTTTAGTGCTTGGATTATCCATTGAACGAATTCCAAGATCGTAGGTAGCTGATATCTTCTCATGTTTAGTTTCGAGTGGATTTTCATTATTAATTTCAAACCAATTAATTTTCTCCATGAATTGAATAAAATCTTGCCATGCTCTAAGTTCCTTCTTGAATATTTCATTATTCATTAGAACATTTTCAAAGAATTCTAAAGCTCTCTGAGATTGTCCATTCTCCAATAAAAATTCAGCATATTGAAGTTCAAAATAATGCACACGAGATGTGTCCATTTTAAAGTATTGATCCAAGTAATCGGAGAATGTTTGGAATGATTGATCAGCTGCTTGTGATACTTCTACCAGTGCAGAATTTAAATTTTCATTTGGTTCCGATCTGGTACTGATATTGAAGTATAGCTTTCTATTGAGTCTAGTAAGACATGAACAGAAGGTTGAGAATACTTGATAGTAATCATTAAATGTCAAATCATTGGCAAATGAATTGAGAGCATGCATTGATTTGTTAAACATGATATCATTGATAAGTTTCAAATAACTTGAAGAATATTCCAACTTGCTGGAAGATAATTCATGTAAAATCTCCAAACTTAGTATCAAGTACTTGTGCATTTCAGAATTCCATGAAAGATTCTTAAAGGCAACCCAACAAGTCATGTGAAGATGAAGAGCGTTCAATAAATTATCATCCACTTGTTCAATATTTTGCAAGTAAATTGAAAGATGACTATTATCCAAGTACTTGAAATTTGTCTTGATTATTTCATGTAAAGTCTTAATAGTATTGAATATTCCATTTGAAGAGGACAATGTTTCATTATTAGTTGAAATAAATTCATCCTTTTCACTTATTAAAAAGTTCAATAGCATATTCCATAGAGTTTCAGAATTATTACTCTCACTTGCTACTTTCTTTAAAAGTAATGTAATTCTCTCCTTTAAAATAGAACCAATTTCATTCAAATCCTCCAAAGACATTTCATTAAATTCCTTTGATTTTAGTAATTCTTTACAATTATTGTACTTTTTCATTTCAAAATTAATTTGTTCCAAATATGAAGATTCATCTTGTGTTTGTTTTTGAAGTGAAATTCTCTCTTCAACTTGTTTGAGTGCGTGAATATATCTGGCTTTCATTTCATCATCTGATGGATTCTTTTCCCATTGATTATATTCCTTCCAAATTGTGAAAACAGATTGATGATTTGGATGTTTTAACAAGTTTGCATAGATATTTCTAATTTTGGAATGATTTTTTTCATATTGCTTTAAATATTTCAAATATAAATTACAAATTTCCTCATCATATCCCACTAAATTAAATACCAGATTGAAACTATCATCAATAATACTACTATTACTTTCATAATATTTTAACATGAATTTACAATAATTAGCTCTTAATGTCTTGTCTATTTAATAGAACATGAATAATCAACAATGGAATAAATATCAAACAATTAATTACTATATAACAACTTACAAGAATAATTTTCCCATAAAAGTGCTCTTTCATATATACATTTAATAACATCTCGTTGTTGATGATCTGAGTATTTTCCTTCCATAAAATGTAATTCCTCCTCTCTAATCCAATCTAACCATGATTCTTCTCCTAATTTCAAAAATTCTGATCGTTTCCATCTCAAATGTCTTGTTTTTTCCAATGCATTCACATTAATATATTGATTATTTAATAAAACTGAATATTGTGATGGTAAATCAGTATTTCTTTTATCAATTTGATGATTAAATTGTCCAATGTAGGATCTATATTGATATTGACCAATTAATTCATCCCATTCTGATGATGAAAATGCAAATGGATTAGAAAGAAGTTGTTGTTCAAGAATATCCAATTCATTCTGTGTAATAATTGTTGTATATTGTTTAGATAATTTAGAGAGAAGTGTCTTTTTAAATTCCGATAATTTCATTGTATTCTCTTCATCTTCTTTCTGATCATTATCAATAATTGATGAAGAGGAGGCTTTTGATTGTTCATTAACTTGTTCATCATTCATTAAATTATTATGATTATTAAAGGCTAATGATGATGATGCAAAAGTTTCTTCATCCGAAGATGATGAATCAGAATCGGAATCATCATCAAAGGATGACCGTTTACGTTTGTTGGCAGCTGATTCTTCCAATTGTTGTTGTTGTTCCTTTGTTGAAGGTGTACCTTTGAACATTTTTTTTGTTTTAGGCTTTTTTGATATTTCGAATTGATTGAAGAAGAATTAAATTTTTGAATATTATTTTAGTACCTTAATGATGGTGATGAATTTTAAAGTGTATAAATTGTAATTTTAACCCAAATTTAGCAAGTCACTTATTCAATTGATTTTTTATAATAATTGAAAAAGGTCAAAAATTGTTTGAATTTAAAAAAAAATTGTCTCTTCAACGTACAATATATTGAAAGATTGCATTTTGACTTTATGATGGAAGATACAACCACAACCACAACTATCAACACCATCACTGCAGAAATGCAAGCCACAGAAAAAGATTCAAAAGATTCGAAAATTTCGGAAGAATTAAATCAACAACAACCAATAATGATGATGATGAATATTACTTCCGATCATCATGAAGAAGAAGAACAAATTGAACAAGCAATAATTAATCATCAGCATCATGATGACAATGAACAAGTAATTCTCAAAGAAGAAGTAGTAACAAATTCATCATTAATTTCATATTTAAAATTAAATTTTGATAAATCTTTGGAAAATCAAGGAAATGTTGTGTTAAAATCTAAAAAGGGAGAATTTGGATTTTCCAAAGATGAAATTCCAATTTATACGAAAGGAATTAAATGGTCACCTGATGGATTATGTCTATTAAGTAATAGTAATGATAATATTGTAAGATTATTTGAATTGTAAGTCAACTCGAATGTGTGAAATTAATCATTGAAAGACCACAAGAAATTCTTGGAAGAAATTTCAGTGAAAATGCCAATTTTTCACATATTGAATGGAGTCCATGTCTATCAGTGAAAGAAGGTGGATGTATTAATGATTTTTGTTGGAATCCATTAATGTCTTCCTCTTCTTTGAGTTTTTGTAATTTTCTGACAGTGAGTTCAAAACAACCTGTTCATATGTGGGATGCTTTTAATGGAAATTTATTAAATTCATTCATGGTTAGAGATAAAATGGGAGAAACTGATAATATTATATCAGTTTCTTTTAATGGAAAATTATCACAAGGTAACAAGTAAGTTTTATTTCAATATTTTGAATGATGAATATTAAGGAAAATTATTTGAAAATTCAATGAATTTAATGAATTTTAATGATAATAATAATAATTAGAATATATTGTGGATTGGATCAGAGAATTTGTGTATTTGATGCACAAGTTGGTAGTTCATCAGAATATTCAGAAATTCACACCATGGAAAAACAGTCAATTCGTGGAAGTGGATCAAAAAAGAAAACAAAAAGATTTGGACAAACTGGTTTTATTTCCTGTTTTGATTTTAATCCAATTGAGGAAAATATATATGTTGCTGGATGTTACAATAACACAATTGGAGTTTATGATCAAAATCTTGATTCAGTTCAACATGTGATTGAATGTGAATATGGAACTGGTGTGAATTGTGTTAAATTTTCATCAGATGGAAATTATTTACTAGTTTCGTCTAGAAAGAGTGATAAAATTGTTTGTTGGGATTTGAGAAATTTATTCGAACCAATCAAAATTTTTGATTTTTCAAGGAATTTCAACACGAATCAGAAAATTAATTTTGACACTGACATTTTCACACAATTCACATGTGCTGGTACATGTGACGGTAAAATTAAAGTATTTGACATGGTGAAAAGTGGTTCAGAAGTTGTAGAACTCGCTGCTACTTCCTCAATGAATCAATTGGTGGTGAATTCTGTTAATCTTCATCCCTATCTTCCTTATATTGCATTTTCCACTGGAGAACGAAAGTACAAGAGAATGTACTCAAATGATGCAATGAGTGATGATGATGATTCAAGCGATGATGAAGAGGAAGCAGAAGTATTTGAAGAGAATTTTATTGGATTGTGGGAAGTTCCAAACTTTTCCTATTTTACTTGCTAATAAAATCTATGATGAACTTGAAATGGAAATTTATTGTAAGCTAGTGAAAGAATTTGATGGAAATTGAAATGGAAATTTACAAAACTGCTCTTTCTTTTTGTAAAGAGTAAATTTCTTGCCATTCCAAAAATTCACTTGTCTTGGCAAAACGCATAAATGTTGACTTGATATTTGTCTCAATTTCCACCATTAAATCTGTGAGAATTTCATTGTTGACCTTTGCTTCATTCTTCGATAAAGCATCTTGCAAGTTTTGTTCGAAATTTTGTCTCACTTGTGAGGAAATGTTAACTTCATACGCAGAATAGGAAATTAAAAATTCTTCCTTAATATGTTTCATATCCTCTACTGAAATACTTGTTGATTTTCTCTTTTTTTCAATCAATACATCCATCAACATTAAATTTTCCAATGCCAATGACTTTTGACAGTATAATTTAAAAAGTTGACACAAATCTTCATTCTTATTTTCCTTAATCATTTCAATATATTCCTTAGTAATATCTTCTTGTTGATTCTTGTCAATAACTTCATCATTTGCTGATTTAATTCTAAATGTTTTAAATTTCAACTGTTCAACAATTAACATTACTAAACTTGTTCCAAATAAGAGATATAATGTCATCCCAATTAGGAATCTGACAATTAGAACATAAATTGGTGCAATCATGAAAATAATTGCCAATAAAACAAGTAATAAGAAAATTATTGGAAGTGATAACAAGTCAATTCTAAAAAAGTAAGGATCTTCAAATATGAAAAATCTTGAAAATCCAAATTTGGAAATTATCTTTCTATTCTTAATAGCATCAAAAATTAAAGTTGAAAATCCAGCAATGCATGAAACAGCTGCCAAAATTGCAATTATTAAATTATTTGCCAAATTAAATAAATCAGCATTGTAATCGCCAACAAGTACAATTATAGTAATTGGAAATATTAAAGTAAAAATCATTGGAATGATAATTGTAAAGAAGAATCCAAACATTTCACCAGCCAAATATTTGTACAAAGATGGATATTTTGAACTCTTAACAAAATTATATAAATTCCTTAAATAGAAATATCTCAAAACAGTACAAATATAAATAATATTCATCAAACAAGCAGCATAATTTGAAAATATAGTTCCCAGAGAAATACATGAATTATTAAATGCATTCAACAAGGCTGTAAATAATCCCATATTTAGAAATGGTGACAAAAATATAATTCCATATTTTCTATACACAACCGGAGATTTAAAAGCTCCAGAAATTAATAGAATTGCATAGAATAAAACTCCGCTACACACAACTGTCAAATCCAATGAATCACCCCATGTCCAATTCTCAGCCACACATGAAGTGGTTGTGCAATGATAACAAGTGGATTCCCACAAGTGTTGTGAAACTTTGGAATAATTCCAAATATAGTCATTACTTTCAAAGAGATTTGAAAATATAAAGTTGGAAATTATTGAATTATTGTAAGGAATGTGTGAAATATTGAAATATTGTAAACTCCAGTCAATTTGTAAAGATGTGAAATAGAGAATTCCATGTAAATGTTCGATAATGGACGAATCATGTTTGATACTTTCTAGACAATTTGTTTGATTGTATCTACTATTCGAAATGAAATAATTGTAAAATTCACTTTCGAATAAATTCAAATGATTGTAATTTTCCATTGTAACAATATAGAAATTTCTAGGAAAAAGTGGAATGATATAAAAATCATTAGGATTTAAATATTCGAAAGATTTCTTTCTCCTCTGTTGATGACCTCTACTCAATCTCACTCTCTCAGCAAACTCATCAGCAGTCCCAATTAGAATATCAAACCTTTCGAATAAACTTCCATAGAGACATTCGGTGTTTTTCTGCATGACAACTTGTTTAAACTTCCATTTGGATGGAATGAGTGCAAAATTATTAGATTGAAGTATTCGAATCATTCTAATCATATCATTTTCTGAAATTCCATTCGTGTCATATGAAAAAAAGTTTAATTCTTTCTGAGAATTAGTGGAATTAAGTAATTGACCTATCGAATAAATTTCTAAATCTTTCCATAGATATAAATTGATGAAATTATTTGCTCCGATAATAATGGTAGAGGAATTTAATTCATTAATTTTGTTGCTGGAAATGTATTGAATAAAAGATGAAGAAGAAGAGGAGGATAATGAGACGATAGGTTTCGTATAGAATAACAAGATTGTTAGAAACCAACTAGTGAGCATCAAATGGAGAAGTGATAGTGAATGAGAAGGTGTGAGCATTTTTTGCATCTTTGAAAATTCTATATTTCCATAACTATTGTTTTTTGGAAAGGTTGTAGAGACAAGAATTGACCTTAGTTTCGTCCATCGACATTCAATGAAAGAGATGAATAAACTTTTGTCCATAATAATTGGAATCAATGATAAAAGTATCGGAAACTCTTGTTTGATGAATTAATCCTTAGAAATAGTTTTCGGAACATGGAACTTTATAATTCTAACCAGAATTTGATGAAAGTTTCTAAATAGTTAACAACAAATATTAAGATCTGATAATCAGAACCGCCACCGATCCATCTGTATTGTATCCCCATCTTTTAAAAAACCAGNGGTTCTCCACGTGAAATTCGAAAATGGAAATAAAATAAACTTCTTTTTTCATCATTGACATAGAAAAGATTCATTCATATTGTCACTCTTAATTTGGGTTAAATTTATTAGTTTCGGTAGTGTTAATTAAATTGGTGTGTTTTCACATCGGTTTACATTGTCACCTGCGCTTTGGATATCAAATAGAAACAAGCGTAAGTCTTGGCAGCCAATACTGAATATCTTCGGAAGCTTGAGGTTGTAATGTTATTGTTTGAAACATTATCAGGTTTAATGGTTGTTTATGTGAAAATAATGTGGAAGGGTGTTGTTATGTTGCAAACAATAAACATCATCATGATGTTTTTTTTAAATTTTATTCGTAACGGTTAGTCGTTTCACATTTATTATTTTCATGTTTGTCGATTGTCGTATCTATTCTTGTTTGACATTCACAATGTAAATGAATGTGGAGAACCCTGTAAAAAACTGATTTGAATCATTATTTTGTTAATATCAATCCTACTACCATCAGCAATCAACAAGTCGTCACGATTCACTTTTCAAAAAAAATTCCAATCATTGATTTCACTGATTAGATCGGCAAAGCAGAGCGTCATCACACAAGCCTTCTTTGCAAAACTTTAAAGCCTTTGAAAAAATCAAGCCATCATCACATCGATTAAAAATTTAAATAATTTAATAATTTATTAAAAAAAAAAAATGTCCTTGCTCAACACCCAAAAAGTCCTCGCTCAAGCTATCAGCTGTATGGCTTGGAATGGTGATAAATCAAGAGTTGCTGTCTCGCCAGGAAACAGTGAAATTCACATCTATAAGACTAATGGTAGTGAAGATTTCGAAAAGTGGGAAAGAGAACATACATTGACTGATCATGACCACTATGTAACTGGTATTGATTGGGCACCAAAATCTAACAAGATTTTATCTTGTGCTCAAGATCGTAATGCCTACGTATGGGAATATAATGAAAAGGAAAAGAAATGGAATCCAACACTTGTTTTACTTCGTCTTACTAAAGCAGCTACTTGTTGTAAGTGGTCTCCAAACGAAGAAAAGTTTGCTGTTGGTAGTGCTTCCAAGATGATTGCTGTTTGTTTCTATGAAGCTGAAAACAAGTGGTACATTTCAAAGATGATTAAGAAACACAAATCAACCATCAAATCTGTTGCTTGGCATCCAACTATTAACACATTAGCTACTGGTAGTAGTGACATGAAAGCTCGTACTTTTAATACATACCTCAAGGAAGTGGACGGTAAGAGAAGTGCCGATAACAAGTTAAAGTTTGGTGATGTCTTTGTTGAATATACATCAAAGGGATGGGTTCACTCTGTTCAATTCTCACCAAATGGTAAATGGTTAGCTTTCATTGGACACGATTCTACTGTTCAATTTGTTGATTATGCTTCACAAGATCAATCTGTTGCTGATGCTCAACCAATTGAATCTCAAGTTGTTCGTCATGAAAAGTTACCATTCTATTGTGGTTTGTTCCTTTCCGACAAGGTCTTTGTTGCTGCTGGTTATGATTTTGCTCCATATGCTTTTGCTTTGGAAGGAAACAAGTGGGTTTTGAAGGGATCTTGTGATGAAATGAAGAAGACTGGTGCGGCTCAAGGTGTTGGTGTCAGAAGTGCTTTCTTAAAATTCCAAGCTACTTCAACTGTTGGTTCTCAAAATGCTGAAAAGAGCGATGCTCCACAAACTCGTCACCACAATGTTATTAACTGTATTGAAGCTTTCAAGGTTGAAGGTGGTAAGGTTAGCAAGTTTGTTACCGCTGGTTTGGACGGCAAAGTTTTGTTCTGGAATGTTGCTGACATTCAAAAGAATCTTGGATTCACTCTTTAATTTAATTTCCCAATCTCCATCTTGTACAATTGTAAAAGATAATCTATCTTCCCTCCTATTAATAAATTATTAGTCCTGTATTATTTAAAGCCAACCAACACCTGTCAAATTTGATGTGTTAAAAATCAAAATTGTGAAAATATTTAAAATTTAAATATTGAAATAATTTAATAATACAAATTAGAATTTATTTAATATAGGTATCCTTGAAACGATCACGTTTTTGTCTTCTCAAGTAATAAAGTGTTCTCTTTTCCAAATACTTGTCAATAAATTCTTTCACTTGATGTGGTTCAGCTGTTGGACTATCAAGGAACAAATCTCCTACTTGTTCACTTTCATTGTCAACTTCATCAATCTTTTCATTTAACATAATTAATAATTGAGTTGGTGCATATCTTTGAGAAAGTTGTTGTTGCTTATTTTGTAAAAATTGAACTTGATCCAAAAGTCTGTCAACTTCTGCCTTTTTTTGAGTAATTTGTTCTTTGAGAGTGTTATTGATTTGTTCATCTTTTTCTACACTTCTCTTGGCAATATCCATATTGGCATTTCTCAAATCTTGATAAATATTCTTTGCTTCTCTTGTAAATGATAAGTTTTCAATAAACTGCTTGAATAATTCTTCACTATCAAGTAATTTTTGAACGGCATCAACTCCTTCAAGTAAAGAAATTTCAGAAAAGTTTGTTGGAATATTTGGTAAAGGAATCATACAAGAGGAATCTTGGAAAGTTGGTTGAGTATTTGTTGGGACAGTACTTGTCATTGAATTAGTCATTGGATTTGTCATGGATGGAATTGTATTATTTGGAGGATAAGTTGAACTTGTCATTGGAGGTTGATTAATTGGAGGTTGATTAAACATCAATGGAGATGTTTGATTTAAACCAGGAGGAGGAGTAGATCCGATTGGAGGAGTAATCATACCAATATTTGCTGTTGTTTTTGTGATATGATTCTTTGGTAATTCATCAGAAATATAGTTTGGAGGAGTGTTGATAAAATCTCTAAAAACTATTGTCAAAACATCTCCAAGACTTGATTGTTGAGTCCATTGTCTTAATTGTGGATGAACAACGTAACCACTTAAATCAACATTTGCATGTTTAATTGTACAGAGAGTAGTAATTAGAGGTGGTTGTTGTGGGAAGGCTTGTTGCATTAAAACACGGAAAGTAATTTGTTGTCCATTCTTTAATGTAATAGGAACATCAAGTACATTATTATCTAATGTAGAAACAATTTTAGCATTATGAAATCTTTTAATTATAGAATCAGCTTGTAATTGTCTAATTCTTTGTGCTTGATCTGCTGTTGTTGTTGTTGTTGTACCTGAATAATAGGATGTTTTTGGAAGATTGGAAAAAGATGAATTCATATTATTGATAGGAGGTTGTGTATTGATAGGAGGAGGTTGTTGATAGGAATAACCCTGAGTTGGTGGTACAAATCCTGTACCCGAAGAGTAGAAGGATGAATTATTATTATTGTTGTACATTTTTTTATTTTTAGTTTCCAAGCTGAAGTTTTCGTGTTTCTATTTCAATGGCTTTCAATCCCGCTCCAACGATTTAAGGAATTAAAACTCATATAATTTGATATTAAATTTATTACTAGTTTTTTAATATTCAAATTCAATTTCTTCTTCTTGTTTATCTGATTCTGAAGATTCTTCTGATTCTTCGTCAAACTTGAAATCATCTTCATTAGAGCCAGAGTAAGAAGATTTTGCTTCTAGTGGATCAAATTCTTCATCATCCTCTAATTCAACATCTGCATATGCACTTTCATCAATGTGACCCTCCATAAGCATTCTGACATTTTTATCTTCATAAAGATTCCAGAAATTATTTCTCTTTCTCTTAGCGTACAGAACACATCCAATGATAGACGATCCTGTACAACACAGAATTGCTAACACACCTCCTGCAACAGATAAACCAATTATTAACCCATCAGGTGATCCATTCTTAATGGTGGCAATGTTCTCTGCCATGACTGCAACAATATTGGATGCAACAACAGAAGAAGAACTACTGGTTTTTCTTTTGGTTATACACACTTTCTGTTCATACCTAACAGGACATTTCTGTTTACATCTGATTGGACTTCCAGCATTGTTGTTTCTATTACTTGACTGAATAGCATTGGAAGTACTATCGGTTGTTGTGGTTGATACACTAGTCGAAGTAGTGGTTGAGTTCCTTGTTGGGGTTGTGCTTTTTGAGGCGTTAAGGGTTGTGGTTGTGTTTGTATTGTTAGAAGGTTTTGTAACATTATTGTTTGATGTTGGTGAGTTGTTAATTGAGCTGTTAGAGTTTGTTGAGTTGGTGGTAGACTAGTAGTAGTCGGTGAGGCAGGTTTGACACCAAGAATGTCATTTTTAAGTGTGTCTATTCCTTTTTGAAGATCTGGTGTTGGCAGGTTTGGATCAGGTCGCCCAATAATATCTGTAACTAATCGTTCTATTTCTTTACGAAGAGTATCAAGAGCACTATAACTTGTTGAATTGCTATTTGAACTTGTTGATCCATTGTTTCCATTGTTTGTACCTGATCCAGCATTGCTTGAAGCAGTATTTGCCCCAGTCGAAGATCCAGAGTTAGAAGAGCTCGTTGATCCTGTATTGGTATCACCACTTGTACCAGTATTAGAGCCAGAGTTAGGATTGGAGGAGCTTGTTGCTCCAAAAATAACTGAAGTTGAACCACTAGTTCCACTAGAGCTTGACCCAGAATTAGAGGAACCCCCATTATTGGTTGGAGTATTGGATGGTCCTGTGCTTGTTAATCCAGTATTTGCTCCAGTGTTAGAAGAACCAGAAGATGAGCTTGAACCACTAGTATTTGAACCTGAAATGTTAGTAGCTGAAGAGCTTGAAGCAGAATTTGTTCCTTGACCATTTGATCCAGAATTGGAGACATTATTGTTTCCTGTATTAGTGTTAGAATTTGTTGAAGATCCTGAACCACTGGAAGTGGCTGGGTTTGTTGTGGTAGAAATTGTTGAGCTACTGTTATTTGTTGAAGAACCAGAGTTGTTTAAACCTGTTGAAGAACCAGATACTGAACCACTATTAATTGTGGTACCTGTATTGGTAGATCCTGAACCACTATTAATTGTGGTACCTGTATTGGTAGAACCGTTTGAAGTGGTTCCAGTGTTTGCTGAACCAGAACCAGGATTGCCTGTTGAAGTAGTTGATGCTCCTGTGCTTGGTAAACCAGTGTTTGTTCCAGAAATGGTTGATCCTGTATTGATAACACCATTTCCTCCATAGACATTTGCAGTGTTGCCAATTGTTGATTCAGTTGTTCCAGTGTTAGAACCACCAGAAGAAGAACCACCACTTAATCCAGAACTTGAAGAGGTAGTACCTCCTGTACCAGTATTACTTGAACCCGAAATGTTAGTAGCTGAAGAGCTTGAAGTAGAATTTGTTCCTTGACCATTTAATCCAGAATTGGAGACATTATTGTTTCCTGTATTGATGTTAGAACTAGTTGAAGATCCTGAACTGGTTCCAGTGATTGTTGAACCAGAACCATTATTTGTTCCAATAGAAGATCCAGAGTTAGAAGCGCCAATTGTTCCAGTATTAATACCAGTATTAGAACCAGAACCACTATTTGATACACTAGAAGATGAACCCCCAATTGTTCCAGAAACATTTGTAGTGATACCAGTTGTTGATTCATTATTTGATACTCCATTTGTTCCAGTGTTGGAACCACCTGAATAAAAACCACCATTTAATCCAGTATTTGGGGTGCTAGTAGTTTCAGTACTTGTGGAGCCACTATTTGAAACAATTGATCCATTACTAGAAGTTCCAGTATTACTCGAACCGGAACCAGTATTTGTTCCAATGTTAGAAGAGCTAGTGGATACAGTGGATGGGCTTGTGATAGAGCCACTAGTATTTGAACCTGATACACTATTGGTTCCTGTATTAGTGTTAGAATTTGTTGAAGATCCTGAACTAGTTCCAGTGATTGTTGTACCAGAACCAGTATTTGCTCCAGGCGAAGATCCAGAGTTAGAAGAGCTCGTTGATCCTGAATTGATAACACCAATTGTTCCAGTGATTGAGTAGTTGAAGGTCCTGTGCTTGGTAAACCAGTATTTGCTCCAGTGCTGGTTGATCCTGTATTGATAACACCATTTCCTCCATAGACATTTGCAGTGTTGCCAGTTGTTGATCCAGTAATAGCATTACCTGACGAAGAACCACCACTTAATCCAGAACTTGAAGAGGTAGTACCTCCTGTACCAGTATAACTTGAACCTGAAATGTTAGTAGCTGAGGAGCTTGAAGTAGAATTTGTTCCTTGACCATTTAATCCAGAATTGGAGACACTATTGGTTCCTGTATTGATGTTAGAATTTGTTGAAGATCCTGAACTTGCTCCAGCACCAGTATTTACCCCAGTTCCTATAGAAGATCCAGAGTTAGAAACGCCAATTGTTCCAGTATTAATACCAGTATTAGAACCAGAACCACTGTTTGTTACACTAGAAGATGAACCACCATTTGTTCCAGAAACATTATTTGATGCTCCATTTGTCCCAGTGTTAGAACCACCTGAAGAAGATCCACTACTTAATCCAGCACTTGGAGTGCTAGCAGTTCCAGTATTTGAGGAGTCAGATAATGAACCACCTTGAGTATTCGGTCCAGTACTTGTAAAACCAGATGCATTTGAAGAACCACCACTGACCGTTGAATTACTACTAGAATTGGGTCCAGCATTGGTAGAACCACTTGAAGAGCCAAAGGAGGTAGATCCTGAGCTAGCTCCAGAATTTGATTGACCGTTTGTTCCAGTACTTGTTGTAACGGAACCGCTGTTTGCTCCAGAAGTTGTTCCAGAAGTAGAATTAGATCCTGCTGAAGGTCCACTAACAGTTGAAGTATTAGCACTCGAACCTGAGCTTGCGGAGACAGTGTTTGAAACACTTGAAGAGGAACTACCACTTGTTCCAGAGACATTGGGAGCAATGCCAGTTGCTGATCCATTATTTGATACTCCATTTGTTCCAGTGTTAGAACCACCTGTAGAAGAGCCACCATTTAATCCAGTACTTGAAGTGCTACTTGATCCAGTAGAACTGGATCCTGAATTACTTAATCCAGAGCTTGAGATGTAGAACTTGTCCAGTATTACTTGCTCCTGAAATGTTAGTAGCTGAGGAGCCTAAAGCAGAATTTGTTCCTTGACCATTTAATCCAGAATTGGAGACATTGTTGTTTCCTGGATTAGTGTTAGAATTTGTTGAAGAACCTGAACCAGTACTTGCTCCACTCGAAGAACCAGAGTTAGAAGAGCTTGTTGACCCTGTATTAGTATCACTTGTACCAGTATTAGAGCCAGGACCACTGTTCGAACCACTTGAAGAGCCAGAGGAGGTAGATCCTGAGCTAGCTCCAGAATTTGATTGACCGTTTGTTCCAGTACTTGTTGTAACGGAACCGCTGTTTGCTCCAGAAGTTGTTCCAGAAGTAGAATTAGATCCTGCTGAAGGTCCACTAACAGTTGAAGTATTATTAGCACTCGAACCTGAGTTTGAGGAGACAGTGTTTGAAACACTTGAAGAGGAACTACCACTTGTTCCAGAGACATTGGGAGCAATGCCAGTTGCTGATCCATTATTTGATACTCCATTTGTTCCAGTGTTAGAACCACCTGAAGAAACGCTACCATTTAATCCAGTACTTGAAGTGCTACTTGTTCCAGTAGAACTGGATCCTGAATTACTTCCTTGATTACTTGATCCAGTATTATTTGAACCTGAAATGTTAGTAGCTGAGGAGCTTGAAGTAGAATTTGTTCCTTGACCATTTAATCCAGAATTGGAGACATTATTGTTTCCTGTATTGGTGTTAGAACTAGTTGAAGAACCTGAACTGGTTCCAGTGATTGTTGAACCAGAACCAGTATTTGTTCCAATAGAAGATCCAGAGTTAGAAACGCCAATTGATCCGGTGTTTGCTCCATTAGTTGAACCAGAGTTAGAAGAGCTTGTTGATCCTGAGTTTGTTGAAACACTTGAAGAGGAACCACTTGTTCCAGTACTTGTGGAAACGGAACCTGTATTTGTTCCATTAGTTGAACCACTGTTTGAACCATTAGAGGAGGTCGATCCTAAGCTTGTTCCAGTAGTTGATTGACCATTTGTTCCAGTACTTGTTGTAACGGAACCGTTGTTTGCCCCAGAAGTTGCCCCAGAAGTAGAATTAAATCCACTTGAAGGTCCACTAACAGTTGCAGTATTATTAGCAGAGACATTTGTGGAGGAGCTAGATCCTAATCCTTGGCTATTAGATCCAGTTGAAGTTGTGCTTATTGAACCAGAGGTATTGGAGCCAACATACCCACCGTTTGAGGTTACTGTTGAACTAGAAATTGCACCGGCTGCAACAGTTCCGTTAGTTACTATTGTTGATCCTATGGAATTAGAGTTAGAACCAAATGGCGTGTTCGTGGTTGTGCTATTACCTTGACCAGAAGTGCTGTTGGATCCATAGGTCGAACCAATTTCTGTACTTCCGCTTGTTCCATTCACTGTGTTCAGGTTAGCATTAGTGGAATTGATTGTCGAAGCTGTACCAGTACTATTCGAAATAACACTAGGGGTTGTATTGGAGGATAACTGAGTATTTGTTGTATTTGTTCCAACAGAAGGGCTAGAGTTTGTGGTTGAGTTAAGGGTAGTATTCAACAGAGGTACATTTCCATTAGTAGTTGTTTGTGAATTGGTGGAATTAAAAATGATTGAACCATTCGATCCTAGAGAACTATTATTTCCACTTGTTGAGTTATCAGCGAGGGTAGCGTTGGGTTTCAAAGTCTCATTAAGAACTTTGAGAAGATCATCCCACCCTTGAATAATGGTAATAGTTGTGTTGCTTGTTGAGGAGGAGTTGTTCACTGTTGTATTGTTTCCTGATTGTAATATTGTTGTTGCTGGTGAAGAGTTGCTTGTTGTAGTTGTATTGAGAATATCATCCCTTACAATAGTGTTATTCGTCGAATACTCCTGAGGGTAGATCAGAGGAAGCTTTGAATTATCACCCGCAAGAATAATATTTATCAAGTTACTTTCCTCAGAGTACCAAGCATCAGTGGAGAGAGGCTTAGAAGGGCATGAATTGGAGATGTAGGTTTGATATTCTGCCTCCGTTAAAATTCCCTTAGACAAGTCGGCCGTTGCTGCGAAACACAAAATAACTGTGATAATCAAGAGCAAGAGGTTGGCCCTTCTATCTTGAGGCATTTTTTAAAAGAAGATGTTAATTCATTACTGTGTCCTCATACTGTGCTGTGACAATAAACAATAGATAAATGGACCTGTCACAATAAGAGGGCAGTAAGGTATTAATGGTGTGTATGTTATGATAATTCATTTCAAAGGGCATTCCAATGTTGTGCAAAATGTTTTCTTGTACCATGTCTAGTCAAGGGTGATGGCAAAGAATCCACAACTCTGTCAAAGCCTCTTTGTCTGCTATGCTAAGCTATGTTTGTGGTGTTGATATTCCTTTGTGCAAAGAAGGCTCGATGAATTAATGTTGAAGGGGAAGAATAAAAATTTAGATACAAAAAAAATGGCTCATCTTCTCGAAGCTCATCATCCTTTAAAATTTTTTCACGGAAGCAAGAGAGAATATGAATATTTATTAAAACACTATGTAAATGAGGGCGGAAATGAAGAGGATTTCGAGAGGGCACTTTCTCAATCTTCAACAATCTATGTAGAAAATCTAAGTTTTTATACCAAGGAGGAGCAAATATACGAATTGTTTGAAAAATGTGGAGAAGTTAAGCGAGTTGTAATGGGTTTAAATAGAAATACGTTAACACCTTGTGGATTTTGTTTTGTTGAGTTCTATCACAGATCCGATGCAGAGGAATGCGTTAAATATTGTAGAGGATGTAAATTAAATAATCGTGCTCTTAAAATTGCCATCGATACAGGTTTCGTAGAAGGGAGACAATACGGAAGAGGAAAAGATGGTGGTATGAAGAGAGATGATTATATAAAGATGCTAAAGAAACGAGGACCAAGAGGTGGAAGAGAACCAAGAGGAGGAGGTTCAATGTCTGGTAGAAGATCTTATGATAATGATCGTGATAGTAGCAGATCATCATCCTATAATAATGACTATCATCGTGGAGGAAACAATGGATCAGATCATCATCGTCACTCTGATAATTATTCTCCACCTTCTCCTCCATTCCGAGATGATCGAGATCGATATGGATCGTCATCTTCTAGGCCATCATCACCATACAGAAATCCACGATCAACTCGTGATTATCACTATTCCAACAATAATAATAATAGATATCAACCTTACCCTCCTCCACAAAATAATTCACCTCACTATGGAAGAGTTGATTCAAGAAATAATTCTTCATCCTATTATGGTCCAACATCTTCTTATGGTAGAGTGTCTGATAATTCAAATCAAATTGAAATTCCACCACCTCGTTCTTACAATAACAACAACAATAGAGGAGGAGCATATTATGACAGACATCAATCTTATGGAAATTATTCTGATAGACCTTCATATGGAAGAACAACCAATGATTCAAATAAGAACAACAATCAAGGATCATCTCGTAATGAGTTTGAATCTCGTCCTAGAGACAGTAGAGACTACGGTCCAAGACACTAAGATTAATTTATTAAACTATAATTTATACTCTAAAGTTCATAAAGATAATTCAAATTAAATCTTTTACTAATTTATTATGAGCTATTGCAGTTTAAGCTAATTTTATTAACACAACCTTTATCATAAGAAGCTGTGTTAATAAAATATGATAGTTCTTAATTTTTATTTGATTTTAAAAGAGAAATTTATTTTCAACAGGTTGTTTTTCATTTTGTGGCAGCTCTTGAATTGGAATCTTATTGAAGAATTTCAAAATTGCAGGTTTCGTACAAATTACGTCAGACAATTTTAATTTCCTTATCAAAATATGCAAAAGAATTACATACAGTTCATCTTATCGGGATATGTTGAGAGCTGACTTCTTTTTTAAGAAATCCTCTCTCTCGATTCCCAACTACTTTACCAGTAGTAAGTGGATCTTCCAGTTACTTAGGGAGATTCACTGACTTAGTGGTCTGTTGTTCCATTAAATGGTAACTATTTGTAATACTCAATATAATTAGCTCTAAAATATAGTTTTGGAAAGGAGAAAAGAGAAATTGTATTTGTTATTGTGGTTTTATTGGTTTCTAAATTAACCAACAGTTTCAATATGGAAATTAAGACTTCAACACTCTAGTTTTAAAAATAGATTACACAACTTTCTATCATTCTTTTCTTTTTTAGGATAATAATATTGCAAATTCAATATATGTCGAAGTTAATAATTTCTGATAGTCAAATGAATGAAATTTCCAATTATAGAATTATACGTTTTACAATATTAATAAACTTTAATATTAAGGATGTGAATGGCTACGGCCATATCACGATGAATGCACCTCATCCCGTCCGATTTGAGAAGTTAAGCATCGTCGAGCCACATCAGTGCTGAGGTTGGAGACAACTTGGGAACCTGTGGTGCTGTAGTCTTTTGTTGCAGATTTTACACTTTAATACAAATTCAACAAAGAAGCTTGTTTTTATTGATATCAATATTGATTCATTAAGTAATGCCATTTAAAAAATCATTAGAAAGCATTAATCAACTTTTTAGCTTCTGAATCAGCAGATGGACTTTGTCTTTCATTGGCAACCTTCATAACAAGAGTCAAATTGCATTCCAAAGTGACAACGAAATCAGAACCATTAACCTTGTAAGAATAGCCAAGGAAACCAGAAGAATCCTTACTATCAGCATTGTGAACAACTCTGAAAATCAACTTTTCCAATCCCATGAAAGCATCCTTACAATCAGGATCCTTGATGAAAACCTTTCCAATTTCACCCATATTGCTCAATCTTGGACATTCGGTTAAGAATTTGATACAATTATTCAACAAGGTATCTTCAGCAAATCTATCACCATACTTGTACTTGGTTTCAGTTGGCAATGCAGCAAGAGAAGCCCAATCCAACAAGATGATCATCTTTGGATTGACTTGTTGAAGATTCTTAGTAGCAGGAACAATTCGATTGTTGAATAATTCACGAACTACCTTCTTGAATGCCAAACCACTTCCACACATGTTTTGGTTGAATAATTCTTCGTGAGTTTGTTCAGTCATTTCTTAAGATTTTAATAGTTTTTGAGTTATTCAGCTGTTGAATTTGTTTTTTGATTTGTTTAATGATTGAATGAATGGTAATATGAATTTATAGCAATTTTTAAAGAATAAGATTACAACAGTTACAATGGAGTTTAATAGAGTTCAATGGTTTTCTGAGAATTGAATTGGTTGAACATTTGTGGAACAACCTTATTGAGAAGTCAGTAAGAGGAATGGTAACACCTCAGTTTCTTCCAATGCATCTTACTATCGAATAGGATACAGCAAAAGTGGGATTATTGTAATAGGGAGGATATTTAGTTTACAATATTCTCTTTTAACCGTCATGATCACATCAGCTTCAATCCATTGAATGGGAACTCATTGAAACTTGTGTGATTAATAAATTGATAACTGACTAAAAAATTACCACTTCATGTGGACATGTACACATGGACAATCATCATATATGATTTGAATACGAGTTTACATGCAGATTAAACCAATCCCCAATATTTGAAACAACATGTACTTCGAATTGATTACCTTCCTACCTTGTTCTTAATGGTGGAATTCAAGAAAAACTTCACTCGCTTTACTACTTGATGATGAAATGGGAATGAGGTTGTATGGTTAGTTTGTAATAGTTTAAAATATCACTAATTTCGAACAAGAACAACAGGAAATAGATTTCACAAGCGAAAAGTGCTAGCTTGTTTATCACACGATGCATGCTGAAAAGAACAATTCGAGTAAACTTGAAGGAAAATCAACACTTTCTATCAAGAAAATTCATAGAGGATAATTCTTGATGCTTTTTGCTGGTTGCAGTTACAATGAATGAACAGCAAGTCAACAATTTGCGTCGTGAAACAAAGTTGTTCAACATGTCCTTAAAAAAAGTTAGCAACACTTGAACACTTTTCTAAAAATACTTCGAATTGTTTCAGTTAAATTGTTGAAGATTTTCAAGGGAAATTCCATAATGACTCAATTGAAAATGTCAAGAGAAAAGTTCAAGATAAGGAAGGAATTCCATCCGATCAACAAAGACTCATCTTTGCAGGTAAACAATTAGAAGATGGAAGAACTATTAATGATTATAGCATTCAAAAAGATTCAACACTTCATTTGGTATTGAGATTGAGAGGAGGAATGCAACTTTTTGTAAAAACCCTAACTGGAAAGACAATTACAATTGAAATGGAATCGAATGATACTGTTGAACATTTGAAACAAAAGATATTTGATAAGGAGGGAATTCCATCAGATCAACAACGATTGATTTATGCAGGAAAACAATTGGAAGATGGAAGAACAGTTAGTGATTACAATCTTCAAAAGGATTCAACTGTGCATTTAGTGTTGAGACTGAGAGGAGGTTGTTAAATACCAAATCGATATAATATTGTAAATAAAATCAGAAGTTTCAATTTCGATTTGATCTAAAATTATCAAACCAAAATTTGCATCAAGTAATTCAACATGTCGAATGTTCAATAAATAGGGGGTGATCAAACCTGTTTAATTCTTCAACAACCTGTTATTTGAACACAACAAGATTCGTCCAGAACTCTTGCCTTCACTGTTCATACAGTCAAAGTAGCGGGATAGTCGCCATATTCCTGGCAGGCTTCCCGTCCAAAATTAATAATTGAAATGTTACAAATATCACATACAACAAAACTTTTTACCAATTAATAGAACATGTTATCAACAACAATCCATAGAAAATTGTAAACGAAAGTTCTGTGGTAATTGATTATAGTCACTATTAACATCAATAGATTGGTTTCAAGAAGTTAGCAGACAACTTTTAATTTGGAAAGTGGAAGATTTACTTATGATTTCGATAATGTCCACAAGTTGTGTACTTCAATACAAATATTAATATAAAGTATTAAATTATTATTATTATATTCCACTTTTTCAATTTCAATTTTATTTGGATTATTTATTATATTAATTATCTCATGATGTTAAACATCCATTTAGTATCAGTTTGAAATATCAGGGCTGTCGAATTGTGACTACGTAGTACAGTTCAGCATTGGATGAAACAGACTGTGAAAATCTAAAACTATTTAGCAACAGGTTGGATCCTAATTTCTAATTTTCCAAACATTTTTTCAAATCCTGTTTAGAACAAGGTTTAGTTAACACTCCATCAAACACACCAATTTCATCAGATAATGAAATTGTGACATTTCCTGTCAAGAGATAAATCCTGAAAGTATTTCCAAATTTTTCTCTTAATTTCTTGGCTGCTTCTAATCCGTTCATATTTGGCATATTCTATTATTGTTATTAGACCTTAAAAAACGAAATTTGAGCTACCTACCATATCAGTAAATACAACTTTGTGAGTGCTTGGATTAAACTTTTCAACCAATTCCTTTCCATCACAAACAAAATCAGTTTCACTTCCCATACTATTAATCATCTTTACAATAACTTTTCTATTGATTGGATTATCTTCAGCTATCAAAACATTGGAATTGAATTTTGGAGTTTCTTCCATTTCCTTTTCACCTTCTTCTAAATGTGACATCAGGTTCAAGTAATTCTTGTGAACGTTCAAGTGTAGTTTCGATCTCTTTTCTTCTACAACAACATTTTCTTGAACTTTATATTTTACCTCGTTTGGAACAATTTTAAAAGCCAAGTCAACTGTAAATGAGCTTCCTATTCCAACCTGTGATTCAACGTTAATAGTTCCATTCAATGTCTTGATTAAATGAGATACTGTAGTCAATCCTAGCCCAGAGCTAGGTACTTTTGATTGTGAATTATTTTGCAATTGTACAAAGGGTTCAAATATAGATTCCAACAAATTAGGAGGAATTCCACATCCAAAATCTTGACAAGTAAATCTAATCTTTACAGTTTCATCATCTTTCTTTTCCAAAATATTGCATTTAAGCCAAACATCATCATCTTTCTTTGATGCTTTCACTGCATTCGTCAGCAAATTAGAAAGTATTTGATGGATCTTTGAAGGATTTGATAAAACTGTCAAGTTCTTAATTCCTTCATCAATTTCCAAATTAAGCTTAACCTTAAAATTCGAAGCATAACCAGAAATTATTCCTTTCAGCGATTTCAATGATTCGAAAATATTGAAAGGTTGAATATTTGTATCTTCCTTCTTTGCACCCTTACTTTCATGTTCAATTTTAACAATTTGTAAAATGTCTTCAATCAATAGAAGAATGACACTATTCGATGAAACTATTGTATCTACGAGATCATTTTGTTTCTCATTCAGAGGAGTTTCTTTCAACAATTCTAAACACCCAATGCTGGACATGATTGGACAACGGAATTCATGACTCACATGTGCAATGAATCTACTTCGTGCTTCCAAAGCACTTTCCAAACGTTTCCTTGTTTCCTTCAGTTTGTCCACTTTGTGTTTCAAGAATCCAGTTACATTAACCAGATAATATGTCCACATCCACACCACAGCCACCAAAATAAAGTAATCCATCATTAAATTTAGAAATGTCTCAGTGTACCCATTCTCTAACAATTCATAAAATCCAAAATAGCAAGCCAACGATATATACATCACTGAAGCATAGTAAGTGGGTAGTAATCCCCAAAATGTAGAGTAGATATATAGTTTGTTAGCTCCTGCAAACCAAATAAAAAGCACTGGAAGGAAAATCATCTTGTGTTTGGGAAGATACATCATTCTCAAAGTGTACATGACCATTGAAAAAACAGTTCTTATAATTTCTCTTTTATCCAAATGTTTGAATGATTCCTCATAGGTGAGAGCTGTATCATTATTAGTTTGTCTTAAATAATTATTAAGGCACTGAACAAGGAAAAAGGCAATATTCAATAAATTTTCATAGAGTGTCATTTGTTGAACACTTTGTAGAGTGGCAAAGATGAAGAGAATTCCGACCAATCTCTGAAGATTCTTCTTATCAGCCAACATGTTCAACATGCCCCTCTCCATGTCATTCTTACATTCGCTCATCGATTTAACTAGGAGAGTATCAGTAAGAGGTGGTTCTGTTCCTTCTTGATGATTTTGTAATGATGATGGTGATGAAGGCAATGATTTAGGCGTTGATGGAAGTGAAGAATCTATTATTGTTGAAAGGGATGAAAAGGATGGTGTTTTTATGAATTGGCGAGAGTTGCTCCTACCATTCCGAATAGGAATTATGAAGTCATCTGATGTTGATGATGAGGATGTATCTTGTTTCCATGGAGTTGCTGCTTCTATTGAACAGCTACTGCAGCTTTTACTATCACCTGCCCTTAATAACGATAATGAGGATGACGATAACGATGAAGATGCTGTATACCCATCCTCGATGATCACATCATCCTTACTTCTGTTGGATACATTCGATGCATTTAAAGGCATTTTTAATCTCTTTTCAAATGGGGAACAGACACAATGATTAAGGGACCAAACAAAGGTGTTGAGATATTTGGAGATGCGATGGTATTAATATAGTTTTAAAATTCTACGATAATGCACCATTTGAACTAACAAATGAGCGAGGCCTTGAATACACGCAGTTGAGATTTGCTGTCATCTACAGTTGATTTATTTTACAGCGTGGCAAATTTGTTTTTTCCAAAATTCACATATTCAAAAGTTGGTCTATCATCTGCCAAAGATGAGGTTATCACTTTGTCCTTCAACTTTTGAATTGCCTCTGCAAAAAAGTCGGCAACGTTTCCTTTAGTGCTTGGACGGTATTGTGATATCCTATGTAAGAATAGCATAACACTTGGATTAGATGATGAAAATAAACTACTATGGCTTCTAATTTCACGCTTTTTGTAATGTTCTGTCCCTCTTTCATCCAAAGTGGTAACCATCAAGTTGAAGATGTTTCCAAAGTATGTAATGTGATTATCATTCATATTCCATTTATCGATGGTTGTCATGAAATAAATATCTACTGATCTAGATCCTCTATTAGTAAAGTTATGTGTCAAAATAGAGGAATCAACAATACCAAACTTAAAGAGGGCGTGTATAACTTTAAAGTCAACCAGCTGCCAAATGCATTTTACAAATAAATAGAATCTGAAATCTCTGGAAGTGCGCTTAATAATTTTCCAATGCTTGGTGATGATATTGACACTCAAAGGAGTATGTCCAGATCTTAATATCATGTGAATTGGCGAATTATTTTCAATGAAACCTGAAAAAGTTAGATTAAGTCAATAACAAACTTACAATCAACAAGAGGACAAGTTTCTACACCATGAGCAATCGATTCTTCTATGAAAAAATCTAATAATTTTTCAAATTGTTGTTCTATTTGTTCAGGAAGATATTGATCTCTAAACGAGTATAAAATTCCAACTAATTTAGCAAAAAATACAGTACGTGTGAGTACTCGTCTTCTAGTTAAAGTTTCAAACATTATCTTTCTTCTTAGTTGCGTATTTTCCAAAGTTAATAAGCCACTCATTGTTTTAAGGTAACTGGCTAATTCACTAATTAGTGGTGAATCTTTCTGAGCTCGTTTCTCAAATTCTACTGTTGCATTTATAGTACTGTTCACTAAATTTTGAAGAAAACATCCATTCCATATTTGCTTCCATTTAGATGGTCTTTTCGATTGTTTTTCCACTTGTTTCTCAAGTTTTTCCAGGAATGAATTTGTTTTCTCTACTGCTTCCTTCTCTTCCTTCTCTTTATATTGATCAGAAATGGACTGATGATGTTCTGATAAATTATGATAAACAGGAGTTTCATTAATTGAGTAAGAATGTTTAACAGCTTCATAAACTGACTTATTCAATGCAGAATTCTCATTAAACCAATACGGAAACAAACTCTTTGCTTTCAGAACACAAACTCTTAAATTCTCTCTCAAATCCTTAATCGGACCCAATATTGTTCGATTGGATGAATCTTCAACACGCCTATTGTATCTTCGTATCCTTGAGTTTCCTCTCACTTTCCCTCTTTCATTTATGGAATCAATAGCACAATTCAAATCCATTCTCATCTGTTCTTGGCACAATAATCTATAAAAACCCTGATTTGATTCCGTCTCTAGTAATTGTAAAGTAATACAAGGACTCATTCTGTAGGCTAGCCTTTTAATTTCTGTCAATTCCATAAATTCAAAAATATGAAGAAAACAATCGGTCGGCAACTGTTCAAAATGTGAGGTTGGTGCAACATTATAATGGTCAATATTACGTTTAGGTTTGATAAAACGAGTCTCCTCCTTCTTTGTTCGTTCATAGACTTTGCGTTGTTTTATTTGGTGAGACTTGTTCAACACCACCAGTTTTTGTGGTATTACATCATTACTTGGCTGATCTTTGTTTCTTGGTTTATCATCCTTGCTTGTCTTCTCTTTTTTTGTAGGCTTTACAGACTTGTGCAAATCCTCTAGGGACAAATCGTCAAGCTCCCGAAGTAAATAGTATTGAGCCATTTTTTTTTGTGATTGTTGAGCGGATAAAGACGTCCAATAATTGTGGAATTTTGAAGAACTTAAAGTTCCTTCATGGTTAAATGGAAAGAAGATACCGAAGAGTGGATTACAAAAAACAAAATAATAAATATTGTAATACTCTTTCCTAAAGAACATCATTGATTTTCAATGAATGCAGTTTCAGAATTCAACAACATTCTACCGTAGATATTTCTTAATGTGTATTACACCCTTTAGATGACACTCTCATGTGGCTTTACTGTTTTTGTAATCGCTCAATAACAAAATCACAAAAAAATGGAAAGAAATAATGCTCTGATATAGACGGTGGTCAGTGATGTAAAATGCCGGGTCAGGGAGTAAAAATTTCAAAGTCGAGCCAGAGGCATTTTATGCAGAACTTGCGAAATTTCGAAGTCGAGCCGGGTCAGGCTAAAAAATTTACAAGTCAAGCCGGGTCAGACAAAAATTTTTACAAGTCGAGCCGGGTCAGACAAAAAAATTTCAAAGTCGAGCCACAGAAGATCCGTTGCTTTGACATTTGGTTGATAAAAACCGTTAAATTAAAATTTAAAAAAATTAAGAGATTTTGTCTACTGGCCACAATGTCCAATCACAAGCTGGTATTTGGAAGCAACTGAACAACATGGCAGTTGGCTAGAAAATTAATACAACAACCCATCATCAGGAAGTTTCTTTGACTGGAATCTTCTTCTTACATCTAAATCTCCAACAACAAAGAAACCAAGAAATTGGCAACAAAAAGAGGAAATCCTGTTGATGATGAAATACCAACCATCAACCATAAACTCCAAAAGCTTTCCAAGAATTTACCAAGACGATACTACCAGCAGATCAGAATATGAGGAAGATGATGCATCAGAATCCACAAAGTGGAAGTGATGAATAAAGTGGCGACGAAATATCATCCGAAGAATAAATAATATTAAAATATTTATAAAATTGGCTCGACTCTAAAAAAATTTGGTTGGAACAACGAATACAGGGTACTGCCCACCGTCTAGATAGATATGGGTTCCCTCTCACTGTTCCAATCGATTTCAATGCCGACCAATTGGAGGAAAAGGCGTCAAAATTGGAAAAGAAGATTTTTATTGCTAGTTGTGGTTATAAAAGTTTGGCTTCTATTGGTTTGGTTTTATTCTGGAAATTAATTGATGATTTGAAACCCTATATCTTGATGAAAGAAGAATATAAGAGTGCTGTTGATGGTCCAATCAAGGAATTGTTGAAAGGTTTTGTGGATGAAAATTCGATGGATAGTAAAGAGCATTCGGAAACCAGTATAAGAATTTGGAAGGACAATTGGCTGCCTTTCCAATGAAGAATTTACTTCAGATTGAACATGTGATGGTGGATGATGCTGCAGAGAGTTTGAGTGTTGAAAGATTTATTGGAAAGTATTTTACACTCAATTTTGGAAGTTTAAAGCATCAAATTGAAAACCAAGAGAAGGTGCTTGCTGTTTGTTTGAAGAGAATTATCAAGTTTGTGTTGGGAGAAATTCTTGAGCTTTCTTTGAATTACACACTTACTTTTCACTGTTCCTCAATTGGACAATATGCAATTGAGTGTGCAATTAAGAATGATCAAGAGTTGAACAACTCACTTCCAGGGGTTTCGAGTTATTTTTCGAACATTACATTGGTACTTGTGAACAATTGGTTCAATCAACATACTGACTCATCCCAAGTCTCTATTAGAGAGGGAGCTAGTCTATCAGCTCTGGTACCAGATGTTCACTCAAATATTTTGAAATTTATTGGAAATTTTAATGAACTATTGAGGATGAGAATTGTCTGCAAATATTGGAATTGTTTAATTGTTGAAAATGATGAAATTTGGAAATACTGTTATCATTTAACAATGATTGAAGATCCATTATTCTTCACCTATGCAACCAGTTCTACACTTTCACAAATTAGAAACGATGAATCAAAAGGATGGAAAACTAAATTCTTTTCTGATTTATTTCCTCATTTAAACTCAAAGAAATCAATTATTTCAAGTTTTATGAAATCAGAATCTGTAGATAATAGTTCTGAGGAGATTTTAAATAATGCTGTTTCCTTATCCTACAATTTGTATCCAGATTATTTTGATTCCAATAAGCCAAATGATGGCTCTAAAACAAAGATTGGAGGTTCTCCAAATACGACAAACAAATCAGCTATTTGGAGAAAAGGATATGTATTTGTTGGTCAACTTGACTGCTCTGAACTTGGTTCATTGATTAATTATCAAATTCCAAAATCTGGGTTTTTATACTTTTTTGTCAAAATGGAAAACATTCGAGTTGAGTTAAATGAAGCAAAAATTGATGCTATTGATGGATATGTTGTATATCAAGATTACAAAGATAACTCAACTGTTCCGCTTGCTCAACTGGATGGTAGTGAATCTCAGGTTGTCAAACTCCATAACCACTCACTGAAATTAGGTATCTCAGCAGACACTAGAATATTCATCAATTCCAGCAGGGAGAGGTATGATGATTACACCTACTATGAATTAGAAGCATTCTCTCCATCATTTGACTCTCATTTCCTTGGACAATATTATGGAAACTACACCAATAATTTCAAATCTGAAAAGGATGATATTATTCTCTTCTCAACCAATGCAATCTATCCCACTACTCAATTCCTTACTCACTTTATTTACTCCATCAGTAGCGATAGCTTATTGAAGAGAGATTTCCATAATGCCAAATTCACCGTTCACACTCCATCCTATGTTGGCTATTAATATTAAATAGAGAAAATCTTCAATTTTATAAGATATTTTTAATAATTAATGAAATATTACAATTGACCAGTTGGATTTCTCTACAATTTTGTTTCTTTGTGCTTGATAACCATTTCACAAAAGTTTTTAGCCATAATTTTACCAACAGTCATATCTACCTGTTTTTCATTGTCATCATAAAGAACTGGAATATCTTTAAGAGTCTTGAATATTTCTTCTGATGTGACAAGATCCATCTCTGGATGAAATTGTAAGCCAAATGTTAATTTATCCTTAACTTGATAAGCTTGATTCTTCCAATGTCTTGATTTGAGTAAATGCTCACACTTTTCATTCAATAAGAAACAATCTGAATGTGAAGAGGATGAATAGAAACCCTTCTCAATTCCTCTGAACAGCAAATTCCCTCTTGCATCCTCATCCACAAAATCAATTAAAACAATTCCAAACTCTGGTTTCTCATTCAAATTCTTCAACTTGGAAACTCCATCATTTCCATTCAAGGCTCTCGAAACTGCTTGTGCACCAAAGCAAACAGCAAATATTGGAAAATCCCGATCAATTAATTCTCTAATAACATTACATAGAACTTCAATGTAGCACAGAGAATCATCCATACAACAATCCTCACTACCAGGAATTAATACAGCATCATAATTTTGTACAATAAATTGAACAATTTGATGAGAATTTAGAGTTTCGGATGGCCACTGATTTTTAGCAACATGATACGAAGTGCACTCGGAAATATCATCGGTGAACATGTACTTTTTGAATAGATCGTCTTCAAAGAGTTGGACGTGATCGGAAACGTCGAGAATTGCAATCTTTACTCGAGTCATTTTTTTTAAATGTTTTTAAATATTTTTTACAACATTAAATATCAAGTTGACTGCGAGAATTAATTCAATACTCATAATTTAATAAAATTAGCTTAATATTTAATAGTTAAAAACATATGAAAATAATTATTTAAAATATCCAATTTAGGATAATTAATTTTGATTGAATTTTTGAAAAAAAATGCAACGAAGCCTTCTTCGTCAAACAAGCCTTGTTGACTCGGGCCTTTTTTTAAAGAACAGAAAGTATTTAATCGGAGGAAACAATATTCAAAGGAGATTTAATCAAACTTCATCATCAAATAATAATGAATTTATTTCCGATTTAAAAAAGAGAGGAATTTATAATGATGCTACTTCGGGATTTGATAATTTAATGCAAGAAATGAACAGTGGTAGTGAATTGGCCAAGTCTATTGGTATTTATGCTGGTTTTGATCCTACAGCTTCGGGGCTTCATGTTGGCAATTTGCTTGTTCTTCAAACTTTGAAGAGATTCCAATTGGCTTTTAATCCAAAGAATGTTCATATTTATTGTCTTGTTGGTGGTGCAACTGGTAGAATTGGTGATCCAAGTGGCAGAAAAACAGAGAGACCTCTCTTGGATGAATCAACAATTAATAATAATATTGAAGGATTGAAGAGAGAAATGAATTCTTTCTTCTCCTCTAAGAACAATGTCACAGTTGTCAATAATGCTGATTGGTTGGGAGAAATGAAAATGATTGATTTATTGAGAAATGTTGGAAAATATTTCCAAATTGCTAACATGTTAAGATTGGACAGTGTTAAATCTAGAGTTGAAAATGCTGATGCTGATAATGGTGGTATGACTTTTACTGAATTTTCCTACTCACTTTTCCAAAGTTATGATTTTTTCCATTTATTGAACTCAAATAACGTAAGACTTCAAATTGGAGGATCTGATCAATGGGGAAATATTACAAGTGGATTGGAATTCATAAAGAAAAAGCAAACAGCCATGCCAGAAAGTTGTCAATCAGTATGCAGTGGTATGACAATTCCTTTACTCACAACTGCTGATGGAGTTAAATTTGGTAAATCTATGGGTAATGCTGTCTGGCTCAATCCTGAAATGACTTCTGTCTTTGATTTTTATCAATATTTCCTCAGAGTTCAAGATGCTGATGTGGAGAAATTATTGAAAATGTTAACATTTGTTAGCTTGGAAGATATTGACCAAATCTTACAAGAACACAATCAGCAACCAGAAAAGAGAATTGCTCAACAAAGACTTGCTGAAGAATTAACAACACAAATTCACGGAAAGGAACAATTGGAAAAGGTACAAAAATGTACAAATTTATTATTTGGAGCTAGCAGTGAGGAAGCAATTGAAATTTTAAAGACCTTATCAAAGAAAGATATTACATCACTAATGAAGGATTCTGTTGGTGGACAAGTACCAAAGGAAGATCTTTTATCTAAGCCAATTATAGATATTGCTTTAGCTCTCAAGCTTGGACCATCCAAATCTGAATTGGGTAAATTGATCAAGAGTGGAGGTTTTTACATTAATTACAAGAGACAAATAGATCCAAAATATGTCATGACAGAAGCTGATCTTGTGGCAGGTAATGGATCAATTGCTGTATTGAGATTAGGAAAGAAGAATTATCATTTAATTGAGGCTATATAAATATTATTTACCTAAATTTAGATAAATTTTATATTGTTTTTTTGTTATTTATTTAAGATTTTCTGAATCGAACGATAATGAGCTCCTTTTCAGTCGAGTTCGTTTTGAAATTCATTTTAAAAAGGAATTTACACTACTTGTAAAACTGTCTTTTTACCGTCCAATTGATCTTTGAAAGATTTAAAGTCTATTTTGATATTTGTATTTGCTCCTATTTTTAAGGCTTCAAATTTGAATTGCTCTCCAAATCTCTTTGCTATTGTTTCATCCAATGTATCTACCCACAAATTGATACGAATCTATATTAAAGTTATTATAAATTAATTATTTAAATATTACATACTTGATTCTTTCTGTTGGCAACACAACATCCAAGCAAATTATCCGAATAAGTAAATGACTCTCCTACACAAAACATCACTAAATCTAACCAGTATTGATCAGCTGGAACGTGCTTTTTAGGGAAACTATAAACCCATTCACCACCACCAATACATTTTGGATCTTCCCATTCTGGTTTTATACCTTCCTTCAATAAAAAGTAAGTTGTACCGGTCGATATTTCACTAGGTCCTCTAATGTGATTAAAAACACTCCAAAATGTTTCAACATCCGAGAATGTATAGACTTCATTGTAAAAGTGAGAATAGTTTTGCTCGTTAAGTTTAGCTTGAGGGTTATGATACCATAATGTCCAAGTATTTTCTAAAATAGGCCTTTCTGCTACTTCTTCATTAACTTCGGCTTCAGTGTCATTTTCAATTTCTTCTTGATCAATTACCTTCTTTTCGCTGCTCATAGTATCGTACTATTCTAGTAATATTGTTGTTGCTTGATGATAATGTATTATTATTATTAAATAAAACAAGGCTTGATGATGAAGGTAAAAGAGTGCGAGGTACGTCTAGATTACTACTCTTTTATTTTTTTTTTATAATTATTTTTAATTTTACATTTTCGAGTTTGTCTTCAAGCCTAATAAAAATTATTACATCATTTGATGTTTTTGAAAAATAATTTTACAAAACAATTAAGAAGATGTGATTGGAATTGGAATTGAGATGTATTGTTATTAATTTGAATATTCCCTTTTAGGTGGTTCCTTCATTTACTCATGCTCATGTCTATTAAAAATCTTTAAACAGGTCTCTTATTGTTCACACAACCTTACAACAACAGTGATTGTCAAGTGAGATATTGTTGAATACATAAAAACCTTGTAAGATATTCTGAAAGTAATAAAAATTGAATTCTTAATAGTCCATGATGATTTGCCAATATTTATTAATCATCAGCTTTCGATATCTTGGACAAATTGGCTCTAAATGATCGAAAATCGAATTTGAACAAGGTTGAGCCAGCACTGAGAATGTCAAATGCACCTTTGCATTGGTCTTCCAAACGTTTGACGTATTCATCCTCATCAGTATCAAGCCAAAAACTAATTCTAATCATACTCTTTCTGTTTGCAACTGTACATCCACAAATATGATCTCCCAATCCAATAAAGTTTTCTCCGATACACATAATACAAGAGAACAACCACCATTGATCAGCTTCTTGTCTTGATTTTTTAGCAAAACTAAAAACCATTTCTCCTCCATTGATACAATTTGGATCTTCCCACTCTGGTTTAATAGCATCCTTCATTAAATAATATGTTGTTCCGATTGGTAAACATGATGGTGAACGAACATTATTAAATAATCGCCAAAAATCCTCTATTGTAGTAAAAGCTTTAACTTTGGTGAAAAAAGCCTTATAATTTTGTTCATTAATTTTACTTCTAGGACTGTGATACCATAAGGTCCATGTATTATGTAATGTATGATTAGGTTCAGAAATACGGTTCATTATATATTCTAGGGTTTAATTATTATAGTTTTAATATTTTACAAGAAGAGAGGCATATCCGAAAAAGATAGATTTTGTTAACGCGTAGTTATTATTATTGCTAGGGTAGTTGTTGTTATTGTTGATGATTAATTCGTAGCTAGTGTTGTTGTTGTATTTGCAAAAAAAAAGATAATGCGGCTACTACGGTATTTGTTATTGGTTTTTTTTAATGTGTTTTATTTTGTATTTTTTATTTTTGGATTTTGATCCATGTTGCTAATTAGGCACCTTGTACAAGGTGCAAGATTACAAAATTTTATTATTCTTGAAGAAAATGTTAAAATACTTGTTCAGTTGGGTGATAATAATCCATCAATGAATGTTGGAAAAATTGGAATGAGTGTCAAAATATTATCATCATTTCCTTATTTGTTCAATAATTAATTCTAAACTTTCTGTAATTTCAATAAATTCTGGTCTATTGCTTGGTTCCTTATACCAACAGAGTTTCATCACTTCAATATAATCTTTTAAACATTTTTCAATGGTTTGCTTTCCAATTTTTTGAATTTCTCTCATTGTAAAGTGATCTTCAATCCATTCTTGAATATATTCGAAATGTTCTCCCATAACAGAAAGAGAAGGTCTTAATCCATTGGTTACTTGTAATAAAATAGAGAATGGTGTTGTTGCATCAGATAGTTCATTGGAAAATGGAACCATTTCAAATAGAACTTCCCACATGATTAGTCCAAATGAATAAACATCCAATTTTGTTGTTTGTCCTTTGTGATAATTAGATAATAATTCCTAAAATATTAAATAATAAATCAATGATTAATTTGTTGTTAAAACTTACTGGTGCCTAAAGATGGAAATTGCTAAATTAGTTAAATGGAATATTGTGAAAAACTTACAATGTATAATAAGGTTCCAACATTTGTGGTCATTGTGGCTGTATTATTCGAAACCATCTTACTGAGCCCAAAGTCACTCACTTTGGCATTTAAATTTTTGGTAAGCAAAATATTTCCCGGTTTCAAATCTCTGAAAATTGTTAACTCTCCAAAGTAAATAGAAACTAAACTTACCTATGAATAATCTTGTTAGGTCTTATCGAATGGAGATAGGTCATACCCTTTCCAACATCCAAGAGAATATTCAATTTAGTTTCGAATGACAATTTTTCTTTTCCAATTTTAGACTTGTAGAGTGCCTTCTCAAGACTTCCATTTTCCAAGTATTCCACCTAATATACAATAAATTCAAATTATTTCTCAAAAGTAAGTACTTACAACCATATACTTGCTGTCGTTGGTTATTGAAACTCCGTAGCAACTAACAACTGACGGATGTCTTAATGAGCTCATTAAAAGAGCTTCTCTTTCAAACTCTTCATCATCCTCTTCTCCTAAAGTTTTCAATTGTTTTATGGCAACATCTGTCCTGTTCCACTTTGCTTTATATACTAATCCGTTAGATCCTTCTCCAATTTTAGATAATATATCAATTTCTGCAATTGGAATAGTGTATCGAATAGAATCCTCAGAGTTGAAAGATTTTTCAACCAGTGGAACACTCAAATCTGAACCATTGCTGCCATTATTGAAAACAAAAGAATTATCAATAAATTTCTTTTGAATTTCCTTTTCTGCTCTTTCTTGTCTTCTCAATTTTTTGAGTTTTTTAACAATATAAATTCCCACCAAAATTACAGTCACAAATATAATAATTAAGGAAATAGCACCAACAATAGCAGCTGGAAGAATGATTTCTATTGGAATGTATTCACATTTGACATTTCCATAATTTTTAGAAATGGTATATCCTGGTGGACAATCAACCAATTTCATTCTAATCGAATGTTCGATATCTTTCAATATGAATGAAAAAGTTGTTTCTTCATGGAAGTTGGCATATTGATATTCTTTAAGAAGTATTTGAATATTATTCGAAAGTATGCTATCATTTCCGCTTGTAAAACCTTGTGTTTGTAAAACTAAATTATTAGAATTGATTTTCATAGACATTTGATTTTCAGGAAGCATTACACTTTTCTGATTGTATCTATCTGATAATATAATTCTCAAATCCAGGGATTCTCCTGGATAAATTTGAATACTCTGATTGGTAATCAATTGATATTCGAATCCATTGAGTCTAAATTCAAACTTCTTTTTTGTGAGTTCTGTAGCAATATTGTTACCATAACAAATTGCCTTATTGATTCCAGCAAAATTATACACCACATCAATCTTTGATTTACCTTTCATATATAAACATCCTCCAGCTTCCAATGCGTTATTAGAATCACAAATTGTTTCTACTGTTTCCCATTGTCGTAGATTTGAAACATCTCCCACATAAATTGCACCGCCTGATTGAGTTGCTTCATTGTTAGTGAAATTTGAATATTCGATAACAGTAGAAAGTTGACTTATCATATAGACAGCTCCTCCATAACCTGCCTTATTAAATGAAAAGTTACAACTCGAAATGAGAACATTAGCTTTAGTTATTTTCAGAGCGGATCCAGTCAATCCTCCAATATTATTCACAAAATTACAATTATCTAATAGTAATATAGTGCTATCTACAACATAATTGGAATCAAAAACAATTAAGGCATCACTTGCCTGATTATTGAAAAATTCAGAATCTTGAATTGTAATTCGATTCCTACTAGATGACAGGATTGTAATAAACTTGGATAAATTATTGGAATGTTTACAATTAACAATAAGTAAATTTTTACAACGTTGTACTGAAATCATACTTCCACCAATAGTATTATCCACAAAATTACATCTTTCAATTGTCACTTGGTCAACTGTGGCTATTCCAAAAAAATTTCCATTCTCTGGCTCAAAATTAACCCTGCTAACAGTGACGTTGATTATTTCCAAAACACTCACAACTTCAAACATCATTGGGCCTGTAATAATACTTGAAAGAATTGAGAATTTCTCTCCGCCATGAAATAAACTTGTCCCTGAGAATGAACTCCAATGACAATTCTTAATTTCCACTAATTTAAAATTGGAAATATTAATAGTTTCCATTTTCACTTGTTTAGCTTTCAAATTTCCTTGTAAGTAAGTAATCGAATCGTTTAGTATAACAAGATTTTGAATCTGACTTGTAATTTCTAATGAATTAAATTCGCTTTCCAAGATGTTTGCATTTTCAATTGAAGTTTGAATAGTAAGACTTCCTTTACATTTAGAAATGGATAAATTCTTCATTTCATAATTAAATACAATTATTATTCGAATTGAATACCCCTTTACAATGGTCAACTCATCTATTTTACTATTTACATGTAGAAAAGGATAACATGATGATAGGAAATAGTCGTCATCATCCCACCCAACAATATTCAATTTAAAATTTGATGTAAAATTAGTAAAGTCAATTAGAATATCGCAGTCAATTACTTCTCCTCTTACTAGAATATTCATCTCTAAAGATAATGTTGAGGAATTGTTTCCCAGCTGTAATATTGATCGTGCCGAGTCTATAACTTGAGACATGTAAACACATGGAATGGATTCATCAAGACATGAAACATTTGTTTCCGTTCCTTGATAAGAATCCAGGAAGAAAGTGAATGAGGATTCTCGTTGCTGTTGTTGCTGAATGGATTTCACCTCACCTGTGACCACAATAGTGAATAAATAGAGCAAGATTACGAAAGATAATAAAGTTCGCATTTTTTTTAATTTGGCTGGATTTGCCATATCGCAAATATTTTGATTATTACCAAATATCTCGAGATTCTAATTTAATTCTATTGGAGGTTGGCTCCGTAGTGGATGGTTTTATTGTTTATTGAGTTTATTCTTGAAAATTAGTTTGCTTAAGGCTAAAAGTTAGTTTATTAAGAATTTGGTGGAAAGCTCTGTAAGAAAAAAAGGATGGCAGATCTGTAGTGGCAGAACCGTCAGAAATCAGCCATCATTACAAAATCTGTTTTTCAGAAAAACAGGCAAAAATAACCTAAAATGTCTAAAGTCAAGTACGTAATTGGTGGCAAAAGTTCTTACACCATGTGGATGATATTTATAAAACCACAAAATAATAAAATAAATATAAATATGCAAGCCTTTTAAAAAATGTCGAGTTGCCTCCTTGCTCAGTTGTATTCAGAGCAACATGATTGTTTCAATGAGATCATTAAATTTCTGGGCTATGCTGATCGGTATTATTTACTTTATTTTCTCTCAGTTTCTCTGAGAGATGAAGAACAAGTTGATGAAATTTTAAATCGTTTCGGAATGGAATTGATGAAGAGCAGAATGGAAATTTATAGGAGAGTAGTAAATTGTATTGAAGGAATGATTTTAGAGGAAGGATCAAAGTCTAATTGGATTGTAGATGTAAATCAATACAGAAAGTTATTGCAATTATATAGGAATTTACCGAAATTTGAAGAATTGAAAGAGAATAGTTTGGAAGAGAACAAGACTTTTATCATTTACCAATTAGAATTGTTAGGGCTGAGATTAAACTCTGTCAAGACAATATTTCACATCTTTAGAGAAATGATTAATTTTGAAAGAGAATTATTAGAAAGTTCTCTACCAAAATATGATGGTAAATCACCTTATGTTGTCTTGGGACGAGCGGGTAGTTCAATATCAACACCTTTACGGCTGAATATTGGAATTGTAGGGCTTCCTAAAAGTGGAAAATCAAGTTTACTCTGTACTTATTGTACTAATTTCTTCGCAGAAGAGGGTATGATGGAAAAGGAGTCATTGTTTGAAGCAAATATTATGATTGATGGATGTATGATAATGTGCACAATGCAGTGCATGTCTCTATCAAATGAGAAGATTGTTCAAGAAGTTATCAAGCAACCTTTCAATGTTGTGGCTTTTACTTGTAAATGTACAGAACTGAATAATTTTGTGAATGATGAACAATTATTTGAGAAACGTATTCTTCAGAATTTGAGAAAACTTGCCATGACTTTTCCCCTTATTCCAATTCATATTATAATAACAGGAAAGGATTTGGATACCTTTTCACTAGTAGGACAACATACTCTGGAAAGAAAACTTCATAGCTTTCCACATCTCGTAAAAATAGGTTACTGTTCAAGCTTAACACAAGAGGGGCTCAAATCAGTCTTTGATGAAGTTTACAGATCTGCCATGGCTTTCAGATTTCACACTAGTTTTGCCTCAAAAAAACAGAATTGTTCTTTGCAATAGGATCGGAGACGCCTTGGCTTTGGCTAATTTTTGACTTGTACGACCTTGGACATCCATACTGATATGACATGATTGGTACTTTGGAAAAAAACAGGTATCTTCAACGAAAATTTGAAGAAGAGACGACCTTTCTCTACCAAACACACACTTTCAAAATAAAATCAGGAAAAGTGAACTTTCAATACACATTCAGTAGATTTTATTTGTTGTGAAGTTAAGGAATTATGACGAGGTTTATTTCTTAATAAGAAGCCGACATAGCTCAGTTGGGAGAGCGTAAGACTGAAGATCTTAAGGTCCCTGGTTCGATCCCTGGTGTCGGCAAATTTTAGCCTTAAATTCAATCTTACAGGAAATAGTTGCTTTGTATCTAACACTACTAAACTGTATAAATAGAGCAAGCTGATTATTGTTTTTGAAAGAGTAGAAACCAAAAGAGTTTGCAGCATCATTGTTTTGTTGTCTCAGTTCGATATTTCCTTTACCATATAATCTGGCATTGAATAATTGTGATAGGATCTGAATGTGGATGATCCACTGTTAGTGTTAGTGAATGAAAGGTTGTGAGGAATTGGTTTAGTCCATTTTCCTTTTTGTCCATTGAGGATAGTCTCTTGATAAAGTTGACAATGGGAGCTGTTGAAGAAGCTTTAATTATACTTCTAGTAATTGGAGTAGTTGATCTTGATAACATCTTTTTTTGATGTTTCGAATATTTCAAACTTTCAAACTATTTAAAGTGTTGGCATAACATTGTTATTAATATATGAATTTCATGTTGTGGTGTTTGATGAGTAAATTAAAAAGAACGGAGTAACAATCTGCAAAACTTTCAAAATCCAATAAAATTTCACATCACTTCTTGCAAGAAAACAATGTTCTCCTACATACAAAACTATTTCTAATACTTTGAGAAAACACGGATTCATTCTAAAACATGAATCAGAAATTATTAGTCGACCCGTGTGTGGGGGCAACTGGAAATTACCTTGCAGTTATAATCTTCCTAGAACGGAAACCAGTCAGGTATTCTGTTTCCAAGAATCAAATAATATGTTGCAATCTATTCGAAAGGTTCCTGTTAGTTCCTTTCCACCCTTGGCAGGAAAAGTCTCGCAGCTTATAACCAAAGAAAATCCAACAGCTCTAGACTTTGCAAAAAAAATATTGAAATGAAAGTCAACTGTCATACATGGTTGTTGTTGTCAATTGTGTTGTTACTGTTTGTGGCTGTTGATGGACAAGAACAAAAACAAGCTAGTGTTAAATACATTATCAAGACTATTGGTCCAATTTCTACACCAGATATTGGAATGTATGGAATTTCCTTATACAACAACGAACTAATCGTTTCTGATGGTTTAAACCGTACTATTCGAATCTTTTCATTGGAAAGTGAAAGTTTTTCTCCTAACAAGATTGGAAACAACACTTCAATATACACTCCTGATGGTAATCAGAACACTATTTGTATGTCAACTGTGGCTGACTCGAGTATTTTCAATGACACCCTCTTTTACGTTGACAGGTAAGCTAATAACATGACATTTTCACACAATATCACAATATAACAATTTCATCATTATCTTTAATCATTAGAATACATAGAATTGTCAGAAAACTTTCTCTTCGTGATTGGCCGAATAGTTTCGTCTCCACAGTTGCTGGAAACTATTCTGATTTCTCCTTGTCTTCCTTCACTGAAAATGGATCTGCTTTTAGTGCTCTGAAAGGTCCAAATTCAATCTTTGCAATTTCAGAGAATGAATTTTACCTGATAGACAAGTCGAGAGTTAGATTAGTCAAGAATGGAATAATTTCATTAATAGCAGGAAGTGATTTGGATTCTTCGTATTCTGGAGAGGGTGTTCTAGCTACTAGTGCTATTCTTCAGTCTCCTTTTGATATTTTTGTTAGGAATGGAAAGATTTTCCTATCAGATACGAAAGGTGTTAGAGTGATAAACGAAACTGGATATATTTCAACACTAGCATTCACTGGTTCCCCAATTGGAGGTGGTGCTTTATTCGTTACCAAGGACGAAACTGTCTTTGTAACAGAAACATATAAGGGAAGAATTTTCAGAATTGACAAGAATGGAACTCTTACAATGATTGCTGGAAATAGCACAACTTCATATGAAAACACTGATGCTCTGGATAGTTCAGTGAGTGATGCAAGAGGTTTAGTATTTAATGAGACAAGTGGTGTAATTTATATTTCAGAATTTTTGAAAAAGAGAATTAGATCACTAACTCCATCATGTGAAAGTGGTTATTATTTGAATGAGTTCAAAACAATGTGTGTTACAAATTGGTGTTTTGGAATTGAGAGTACTAACAGTAGCAGTGTTTGCTCAGGAAGGGGTGAATGCATTGAAATGAACAAGTGTCAATGTCAACCAGGTTTTTATGGAAATAATTGTGGCTCGATTGGTTGTTTTGGAATTGCTGCAAATGATAATAGAGTTTGTTCAGGAAATGGTATTTGTGCTTCTTCAAATAATTGTACTTGTTCACCTGGATATACTGGACCTAATTGTTTCATTCCAATTTGTTTTGGAGTTTCGGCTAATTCACCGAATGTTTGTTCTGGAAATGGCAATTGTCTACAACCTGACTTTTGTACTTGTACTGGAGGATATTTAGGTATAGATTGTTCACTTTTAGTGGAAAGATCACTGAATGCTATTGGAATTCCACAAGTACTTGTGAATGGTGTGAAAAACAATGTTGATTTCAATATTGTGAGCGTTGAATTGAGAACTAGTTCAGATTTGAAATTAACAAGGGATGAGTGTGCTACTGCAAATTGTACCATTTCATTGAAATATTCATTCATGTTTGGTTCTGAAGTTATTTCAGCAGATGAAAATGTTATTGGAATCTTGACGAAACCAAAAAACAACGCCAACTTATTCACATTGACCTTCAATCCCATCATTTCCATCAAAATCCAACCAACCATCCAATCCTCTGGAAATCTCACCTTCACACTCCTTATTAAGCCAATTAAGGATCAAATCATCGCCATTTCACAACAAGTAATTCTCGTCGCACCACCAATTCGAAATCCAATGGCAATTGTTAATATTCAACCATTGTCAGGTGTTGCACTGAAAACAAGTTTTATTATTGAGGAAGTTGTAGGTGCTTGGAATTTTACAGATTCGAATGCGAGTCGATTGTTTCTTTCTCCTCTCAAATTTGCTTTTGGATTTAAATTTAAGAATTCAATGATTAGAATTTCAGAATTTTTGACAAGTGGAAGAGATTCTGTGTATCTTCCCTATTTGAATGAAACAAGTTTGGCTACAAGTCAAAGTTTGGAATTGTTTGTAATTTGTTTGGATGCGTTGGGGACTGAATATTCTCAATCGATTAGTTCAGTTTCGATTAGTGCAAATTTGGACGATTCTTCAGAAGTTTTGAAAGCAAGAATGGGTAGTATTGCAACTGTATTTCCATATGATACAAGTTTAAAATTGAGAAAGGAAGTAACTAGTTCAGTACTTGTAGAGTCTGTCAATAAGATGACAATTGACATTTCCAATCCGTCCACTGCTTTGGAAAATCTGAAACAAATTACTTTATCAGCTTCTTCCAATGAGGTTGCTACAGCAATTAATGACAAATTAGGAAATTATTTGAATCAAGTTAATGAAATTTACAAAAAAGAAAAGGAAACTCTTGGCTACGTTACAAAGCAAAGAATTTCAGATTCTGATTTACAAACAACCTTGACAAGTGCAAGTAATTTACTTTCTTTTGGTTTCTCAAATGTTTCGAATACTTGTACTCAATTGACATCTGTTCTATTATTGCAGCAATCGGTCAAATTATTATCCGAATCTATTATTTCCACAGTTTATTCATCAGATTTGATTAATGTAACAGTTTCAACATTTATTAAGAATTCTAACAGCACTAAATTAGAAAAATTCTCCGACATTAGTTTAGATTCGGATTACATTCTAACAAAATACGATGGCTACAATAAGGAAGTTGGATTATCACTCATAACCTATACTAATCCTCTATTTACTTCAAATCAAACTCAATTGACCAACTCTAAAGATTTCACTCTTTATTTAGGAGGTAAAACATTACCACTTTCAGAATTGACTCAACCAATTTCAATTAACTTTACAATATTGAATCAAACAATCAATTCTCTCAATTCATCTCAAATCACTTGTAAATTCTGGAATGAAACAACTTTACAATGGGATTCCAGCGGCTGCTCGCTTTCCACTTTACAATCAAACGGAGATTTAATTTGTAAATGTACGCACACCACACTCTTCGCTGCCTTTATCGAAAACTCCCTTAATAACACCGCAACTGATTCATTAAGGGCTGCCGAACAATTATCCGAATTGTACATTGCACAAATTTCATTTGGTGTTTTATTTTTCATCTTGTCGAGTTCAATTCTCGTTGCCTTGATTGTGATGCGAAAATCTCAACCATTGGCGAGTCGATTTGTAACTCCGTTTATTGGAATGTTTGCATTGGTGGTGGAAAGTGGACTATTTCTGATAGTTCAGAGGAGTATTTTGTTGGATACTACTAGAAATGGGTTGATATTATCATTGAAGAGTGAGGGATTGACAGAGTCGACGGTGATTCAATTGGAAAATGGTAATTTGGCATCGAATATTGTTTCGAATGTTATTACAATTATTGTAAACACTTTGACTTTGACAGCAATGTTTTCATACTTGTATCAGACATCAAGATTTCACATTCTCAAATATTTCTATCATAGATTATCCATTAAATTCTCATTGAACCAAAATGATAGAACTAGTCAATTGTACCAAAAGGGAGACAAAATTTTGAGAGTGATTAGAATTTTCCTCTCCACAAGAGCAATGATTTCCATCATGGGAATCTTTATGACCGTGAACCTAATGTATTGGACGTTGTGGGTAATTCTTGTGAGAACGAGTGTCATTACAGGAATCGAATATTCTTACATTGTTTCAATTTCGTTTACAATTATGATTTTATCATTGGGATTTCTTATATGTGCATTGATTTTGTTAGATGTGATCATGTCACTTTTGAATTCTAGAAATGAATCTGAAATGCTTGTGGATAGTAATGAAAAATCAACAAGTAATTTATCAAATAGTTCACTTTCGTTTAACAAGGAAGCTTTACAAAAGTTTGATAAGGAAACTGCCAAGAAAATGGCAAAAGTTCCAATCAAGAGAGCTTATGATTGGTTCATTCAACTCGATACTCCATTATACTTTAGAGTGGAAATGATTTTATTTATTGTTTGCTTTACATTTTTGGTAATTTCACAAATTATTGGATTGTCAGGTTTGAGTTACAAGAGAGGTGATGTAAATTCAAGAGTGAACGATTCAATTTCATTGCTATTTGAAATATTGTACTTGTTTAGTTACTTGTTGGTATTTGGAGGATTTGCACTTATTGTGAGATTAGTTCATTTCATCAAACAAAAGAATTTTAGAAACCAATCGAGTAATGAAGAAAAGGATGAATTGGAACAATTACTATCGAATAGAGAAGGTCTGAAACTATTCGAATCATTCTGTAAAAAGGAATATTCATTAGAAAACTTGCATTTATATTTGGAACTGAAACAACTCCAAGAGTTAATCAAAGCAAATGACAGAATTGACTCTGTGAATTCATTGATTGAAGAATTATTTACCAATTATATTGAAAGTGGCTCCATTAAGGAAGTTAACATTCCATCCGAAACTAGAAACGAATTCAAACAAATGAGAAAATCACTTAGTGAATTGGTCAACTCTGCCAAGAACAATCAAGAAATGAAATCAAAGAATGAAAAGGAAATACCAGAAGCATTCCATGAAAAATTGCAACAATCAATCAGCTCACTACAAGATCAGATTATTATCAACTTGAATGATACCTTTTCCAGATTTACTACAACAGATGAGTTTGTTTTTTATGAAAATTCTGGTAAAACCAGAGAAAATTTGTTGAATGATTCGAAATTGATTTAAGAAGAGACAAGGATTGTTATTATGAAATTGATTCTGAATCCTAACATATTGGAATGTTAAATAAATCATTTTGTTAGAATTATTAGTAAACCAGCGTTGTTTTTCCTTTAATTGGAGTTTAATCTTTAGTTGCAAAATTCCCTTTATGTTTATTGAAAGATCGAAGAACTAGATTGAGAAAAGACAAACAACAAGAGGAATTGAACCTCTGACCTGCAGCTTATGGGTCTGCTGCTCTCCCGACTGAGCTATGCGCTTGTCAACTATGAGTAAAAACTAAGACGCTATTACTTCCAAATTAGTCGGCAAATCTATTTGTTCATTTTACCTTTGAATGAAAAGTATGATTTAGTGACAAATCCTTCATTTAACTTGAGGAAATCAATTGATTTTAAATAGAAAATAAACTTGTCATTAAAGCTGTCAACTTTCGAGCAGTTAAAAAAAAATGACATTTATTCCTCAATCACCATTTGCTAGAAGAACTCAACAATTTATCACTCACAACAATACAACAGTAGAAGAAACTTCCTTCCAATCAAATGATCTTCTCTATGTTTCCAACAGCACAAATTCCAATATTAAATTAACTGGAACCCGATGCATGAAGATTATTCTAGATTCTAATAATGATTCTACTATTACTTTTAATGTAAATTCCATCACAACAGGATTTGTAGAAGTGATGAAATGTAAATCTAGCAAAATTTTGCTGGAATCAAATTGTTCACACAAAATTAACACTTTACAATTGGATGCTGTGCAGGATTGTGAAATTATTTTTAACATTTCTGATGAAAATGTTAATAATGAAGAATTTTTAAAGAGTTTTTGTTCGGATTTATCTATCATTTCGAATATTGAATGTAAAAATGTCAAGTTGATTATTAGAAATGAAAATGGAAATGCTTTATTCGAATCAATTCTGATTTTTGAAAATATTGAAGAAAATGTTTTGCAAAATAACAGAAGCTCCATTCAATTCAAATCTAAATTTGTGAAACAAGACGAAACTATTCTATTAGAAACTGAAGTTATAATTCGTGAAGGAGTCAATGGATATGTTTCTACCAGAAAAGAACAACAAGACAAGGATAAACTTCAAAAAGAATTTGACGAAAAGATGGAAAAACTCCTCAAAGATGGTCTTTCCAAATAATGTTTCAAATAATTTCCAAGGTACATTAAATTATTTTACAAAGTTTCAAGTGAATAATCTTTATTTTCCCGCCAAAACTCATTTTAACCTAAAATTCAGAAATATTAAAAAACAAGATTGAAAAAAAAGAGTAAATCAAAATTCACTAGTGAAACCATCTCTCTTTAAACATTACAATTTGAAGATTCCATTTCAAATTTCATCGATCATGACCCACAGTGACACTCTCCAACGTCTCAATATTTTCGTGTCTTTTTGTAAAGATGGAAATTCCATTAAAATCATTTCAATTATATTTCAAAGTTCAACTCAATTTATAAAATTTTCAAAAATCTTAATTTCCGCTAAAAACATTCAAAAAAATGTCTCAACACCAAAAGATCAAGCCCAATGCACGTTCGAAAGCAAATTCAGATCCGAATAGTTACAAACATTGTAAAACTTCTCCAATTTTAGCCTTGAAAAGATTATATTCCGAATTTAAATACATTCAAGAAAATCCACTGAGTCATGTGAGTGCATGTCCAGCTCCGATCAAGAAGAAGAAGGCTCTCGATAATTTGAAAATAATGAATATTTATCGGGAGATGAATTTTCAGGTGGATGATGAGAGGGATTTCATGATGTGGCACGTAAATATTCGAGGAAATTCAGATACCATGTATGATGGTGTGGTTTTTCATGCAGTGATCAAGTTTAGTGAGAATTATCCAATGGAGGCGCCCACTATTCGATTGTGTACGAGGATGGAACATCCTAATGTGGTCGATTCTGATAGGATTTGTTTGGATTTTCTTGAGGAGTGGAAACCAATTTATTCTGTTCATTCAATCTTGATGCAGTTGCAAACGTTTTTATATGATGGAGCAGATGTGACTAGAGTATTGTCAAATATTCAGGATCCAAAGACTTTTGAGGAAAAAAAGGAAGAATACTTGTCAGCTCAGGAATGGTCAATGTCACATGCCAAAGCATATGTTAATAGAAAAGTTGGCCATTCTAATCATTTACCTTCTCCTCCATTTGTATCTAGAGAGGAAGATGATGGTTTCAAAAGAATGAATTGTAAAGTTGAGAAAGTGTTAGCCAACTCAGATTCAGTTTGCTTCTTTACCAAAACAAGTGATCTTGTTGGCTATGGAATTAACTGTAAAAAGAGAAACGCAAAATCATTGGAAATATGTTCTATATATTGCTCTCTGGATATTCTTTCATTGAGAGCGTTCATGAATTATAATGTGAGAGGAATGTCAAGAGAGAAAACTTCATTTACACACTGGATACCAATCCTTACAGAAACAAATGATGAAATTCATATCAAGAAGGTTCTTCACGTTACCAAATCTTCATTAGCTAATTTGTCCAGTTCCCATTCGAAAAAGATAGATTTTTCACCAGAACAAGTTATTGAAATTCTTCCTCGATTGATGTCTAATTGTTTGCTTCAAATGGTTGATCAGAGAGAAAAGACCACCAATGCATTTATGGCTTGCTTGAGATTTTTCAGATTGATGATCGAGGCGATTAAGGAAATTCCAGAGATTAGTGAATTGATTAATAGCTCTATTGATTCCTTTATTAGAAGTGAAGAAAGATCAAAAGAAAAAGTTGGAGATTTGTTAAACTTTGTAATGCTAATTCCATTTTCAAAATTTGATTGGAAAGATTTGTATGATATCTATGTTAGAGAATTCTTGACAAGATATGTTAAGAATATTTTGAAGAGCTACAAGGAAATTGCAGATTTTCAATGTGCTGAAGTAACTGATGACGACAGAGTGTCCTATTCTTTCAAAAGTATCAGAAAGAGGTTGAAAGAACTCACATTACACATTTACTTTATCCAGATCTTTTCCGATTTTAACTCTATTGAAAGTATTTCTAAATTTATGAATGAAAATTGTGGAATATTGCCTTATCAATCCATAGATTCGTTCATAGAAAAATTGAACCAAATTGAAAAGATGAATGACTTTAAAACCTTCTTCAAGTTACTGAATGAAATGTCATCTCTCCATGTATTTGAAACTCATGATAGTGTTATTGAACTACTCAAATCCTGCATTCAGAGTAGTTTACAAAAAGGCTACCATGGAAAACCTCCAACAAATTTTAGAAAACACATAGTTCTAGAAGATTTGCCAAAACTTACATCAGAACAAGAATGGAAAATTGCTTGCAATTCAAAATGGAGAATTTCAAAACTTCCTTACTATTTAAAGGAGATGAAAGACGCATGGATGCAATTATATTTACAAAAGTCGATGAGCAGAACTCTTCGTGAAATGGCTGAAAGAAATAATTTCATTCTCCTTTCTGGAATGATTAGCAGATATTCTAAATGCAAATGTTTGGAGACTTGTTGGTTCAATGGTTGCCAAGATGTTTTGACGAAAATATTATCATCCCTTCCAATTAGTACAATAATTCTCAAACATTGGAATATCGAGTATCAGGAAAAGGATAAAGGAGCAGACTTTGAGACATTCTTTTATTCTATTAAGAGTGATTATTCTAGAAGAGCATTAATAGAGAGCTTGATATTTCATGATTCAAAGATTACAGGATCAGATCTCTCTTCATTCTATATTAACTTTCCATCATTGAAAATATTAGACTTTAGCAACAACAAGATTGGGGATAACGGTGTCTCATATCTTGCCGATTTTTTGAAAAAATTGAAAAACTGCCCTAATCTAACCTATTTAGATCTTTCTCATTGTGATATTGGAGAAAGAGGGACACAAAGAATTGGAGATAGCTTACTAGCTAAGAAGAATCTGAAGACATTCAAATTCACTGGAAACAAGTCACCACCTGCTCTTTTTTCAATTGCTCATTCATTGAGTTATTCCCCTTCCATTGAGAATGTCAAATTGAACAATATAACAGGTGATATGAGTACAGATATCAATCCAATTTACAGTGATTCGTTTAGAACATTTTTACAGGAATTTGCATGTTTGAAAACATTGGATCTTTCAAATATTGAATTTCCTAAAATTTTTTCTAATATTATGTACATGTACTTCCAGACACTGGATGAGTTGAATCTCAGTGGTTGTCCATGTGATACTACATTTTTATCAAACCTATTCAGATATTCAA